CTCGTGGCTGAGGCTAAGGCCTTAAAGGCCACCGGCTCCCAACAGGTCATCCTTTTTTGTTTTATAAAAAATGAGAAATAAGCCCTTAGGGAGTTGTACCTGTCTTAGGTCGCCGGGTGTCGCCCTGACCCTTACCCGTCTTCGGCTTTTGAGAACGCATTTTATCCACTTTGAGTGGAGGCGAACCAAAGTCTGTCTTAGGTCGGTGTCAGGGGCACCCAGTCTTACCCGTCATTGGCTATCCAACTCATCTCATAAGGGCGGGGGTATTACCGGCAATGAATGCTCATCTTCCTGAGCCACCCCAGTACTCATTTCTACTCTGCCCTATAGGGTCGCTCTGAATTGGAATCAAGTTGATGGAGGTGAGGTGTCTTTGTTTTGTTTTGTTTTTAATCACTTTGATTTCATATAAATAGCTCTTTAATAGTTTAAAGTAGATTTTTTTTCCCCCAGTAGTTAAGCAGTTTGGTTTTAAGAAGTTTTTCAGGTATATTTCTGGTTTAAGGCTTAAAGATTCTCCCAGGGAAAGAGTTTCTGGGGTTCATCTAGCTTCGGGGTCCCAGGAAATCTGGAGTTTATGAAAATTTGAAATTCTGTGCTACATGTTTCCTTATTGATCAGGAGCCTACTAAGGCTCTTTGGTCAAAATGTTCAGGGAAAAGGAGGCAGTTGGTTCATGGAGGCAATTAGCCACACATTCTATAACCTTCTCCTAATCTTGACTTTTCGTTCTTGTGTTGAGGAAGTACTTGAGTAGGGGCCCAATCTTAAAACGTAACATAATAATATATGTACATAGATCTATTTCCTTATTGTTATATATAAATATATTTACATATGTACATGCCTGTATTTAGACCTCTATAAATGTCCTTTGCCTCCTAGTTCTTTTCTCTATTTCCCTTTACTTTCTCTTGTCCCACTATCGTGTTCGCCTTTCATCTGGGTTTCAGTAATTCCTCTTGGCTTTGCCCTTGATCAAGCCCCACCTACATGTCTGTGGAAAGACCTGTCTGTGTCGAGTGTTGGCTATTGAATGACCTTCAACATGCCTTTTCACCTTTCTCCTCCCAGTCCTCTTTATTTTTCCCAACTCATTTTAAATGTACAAGTTCATGATTTTTAGTGTATTTAAGAGTTGGGCAACCAGCATATGATAATTAGGTTTATTATTCCAACCAGCCAATAGGAACATGTGGGATTAGTCGGTTGCAGTTGGATTGGAAGGCAAAGAGATAAAAGGCTCTGCAAGGTCTGCCCCCCTTTCTCGTGCTCTCTGGTGATCTCTGCTTTAGCTAGTTCTCTGCCTCAACCTGTGAGCTACACCACCTGTGGGCCAAGCCAATCCATGGATCCTATTGCTGGAGCTTGAGGCTCCTTTGAGACCTGCTTTGCCACGCTGCTGGTGCATACATCGCATGAGCTTGGGGCTGGTGGATCCTGTCACCTTGCATTGCTTGCATTTGATATCGCATCCGGGCCTGCTTCACTAAGCTCCCGAGCTCCTGACTGTTGTTGACCCACCCTGCTGTTTGCTGCCCCTTCATTATATATTATACCCTGCTTGTCTTGCCTGAGGGAGGCCTCTTGCTGTCTGCTTCATTGACCTTGGACCTGGCAGCCCACATGAGTTTAAGGACTTCCAGTATATTAACTGTTCCATGGAAATGAACTGAATTGAACCCCCGGTACTGCTGTGTAGACTGATTAACTGTTACATTCCTTCTTTCTGTATAAACCTACATATATATATGTAATCATAAGTGTCCTGATTTTGTTTCTCTGGAGAACCCTGCCTAACACACAACACCACAATCTAGTCCTAGAACATTTCCATCACTCTAAGTGGCTTTTCTGAGTACCTGCTGTCTGATCTGTATATAGAGATTGCAGCAACCTAACGCAGGCCACCAATAAAAATTATATTACCAAAAACACTTTATAAATTCAATGTAATTCTGATCCAAATCCCAGCACAATTCATCAAAGCAATGAAAAAACATCACTGACTTTATATGGAAAGGATAAACAAAGCACTATTTAAAAATGAAAATAAAATAGGAGGTCTTTTACTCCCAGCTTTGAAAACATATTATATAGTCACAGTAATCAAAACAGCTTGGTACGGGTACAAGTACCAAAGACCAATGGATTAGAATGGAGAATCCAGACATACAACCCGCCTGTAAAAGAATGAAACAGGATCCATACCTCATACCATGTATCAAATAAACTCAAGATGGATTAAAGACCCAAATATAAAGGCCAGCAATACAAAAATAGAGACAAACTTAAGTGCCCTGATACACGGCAAACATAATGAAAATTACCAACACCACTGAAGACAAACTAGAGGACGGTGACTTGTAAATGACAACAGCAACAAAAATTTTCATATTATATTTGTTCTCACTGCCATGGAATTGATTGGACAGAGGAGAATTACTACTGGGTTTCCGTATCTGTAAATCTTTATAGGAGTCGAAAGCCTCCTCTCTCTCCAGCCGAATTGGTGCTGTGTTCCAACTGCTGCCCTTTCCGTTCGCAGTCCTACTCAGAACCCACGACACCCCCCACAGCACACCAGCCTCACAGGACGCCGACTACAGGACAGGGAGAACGTCCCTTGTGAGTGTCTGAGACGGAAACCCTTATGGGAGTAGAAAGCCCCCAGTCACTGGTGGTTTTGAATTGCTGACCTTGCGGATCGCGGCCCATCTTGTAACCACTCCGCCAGTACACTACCAGCGCCCCTTAATTATATACTATACACTGATAACTTGGTTGTGGAACGGCTCCAAGCTTGAACTTTTCCACTACTCCAACAGTAAAGTTCGAAAAAAATATGCTTGATGTTCATAATTTTGAAGCCATGGTTGAGGTATTTTACTCAAAGTGCAAAATAGAAAAGCCCAATGACGAATATCATTCACAGTAACATAAGCACTATATGTAGTCTGAGCGAGATGTCCATCGCAAGATTCAACGAGTGCCTCACTCTGGGTCTGTACAAAGTTTTCAAGTCGCGTTTTCAGTTGACTATCGAGCAGCCCGGCTCTCCCCACTGTCCACTGTGGGAGTTCGGCCCAAGACTGATAGCCAGGGATCGATCGTGGCATCTGCCCTCTCCCTGGCTGCCTGGCTGAGGCAGGAGGCGCTGCTCCGGGCTGGATTTGTGATGCCTGGACGCTGCGGGCGCCTGCGCAGTGCCGAGCCGCGCTGGCGCAGATCGGGCGGTCGCCGAGTGGGCTGGGGAGTGCCGCGGCGCTGAGACTCGGGACGGCGGTGCCATGGCGGACGAAGGGCTCGAGGCCCTGAGGAAGCAGAGGCTGGCCGAGCTGCAGGCTCAGGCGAAGCACGGGGTGAGCGCGCCCGCCCGGCCTGGCCCTTGCGGGGCGCCGCCCTCTCCCGAGGCGAAGGGCGGGGCCCTTGGCGGAGGCTCCCGGCGCTCCCTGTCCGGGCGGCTGCGTGACCGACTCCGAGGCGGGCCTCGGACGCCTCTCCCCCGCCTAGGGGCTCGGGTGGCCAGGGGGCGGGTGCTGCCCACGTGCGGCCCCGGGCCCGTCCCTCCGAGGGCCTGTCCCTCACCAGGGCCTGTCCCTCCGAGGGCCTGTCCCGGACCAGGGCCTGTCCCTCCGAGGGCCTGCGCCGGACCAGGGCCTGTCCCTCCGAGAACCTGTCCCTCCGAGGGCCTGCCCCAGGCCAGGGCCCGTTTGCCCAGCTTGGCCTCGCTGAGACAGGCCCTGTGAACGCCCTGTGGTCCGCAACCGACTTCTCAGCGACCCCCGGGGTTTGCGTCCCTTAGCGTTGAGGTCTTGCCGTCTCCGACTGCTGCCCCAGACGATGGCCAAGCCAGATAGTTTTGTGGAATTCATTTGTACTGACCCAAGGAGTCAGCTAACATTTCTGTGCGGGTCTGCTATGTGCCCGCCAGGTGCTGAGAGGACAGCAGGGAACCGAGGGACATCGAGTTGACAGTTCCCAGAAGATGCTCCTGTAGTGACTGTGCTATAGCCGGAATGGAGGCCAGCATGAGGGGTCAAGAGGGGAAAGGCCTCCGGGGAGCCGCCGTGTCAGTCAGCGCCTGCAGCACGGAGCCACCTTCCGTTTTCTTGACCTGAACTCTTGACCACCCATGATTTCATAGTGCAGGGATTCACACACACCACCCCCACCCCCGTATGGTGGTTTGCGTTCCTAAGAGACTCTACTCCATTGTGACTGTAGAGCCGTGGTCCTCGACCTTCCTAATGCTGCCACCCTTTCATACGGTCCTCAGAACTGTAATTTTGCTACTATTGTGAATCAATGTAAATCTCTGATATGCAGGATGGATTTTCATTGTTACAAATTGAACATCATTAAAGCATAGTGATGAATCACAAAAACTATGTAATTAAATATTGTGAAATATTTATTTCTAAGGACAAGTAAATGAAATTTTGTCTTGAAACATGGTGTAGCATGGGTAGCAGTCTTCACTCTCGGTATGTGGGCGTATCTGCATGTGGGCGGACCCCCCTGGAGACGGTAGAGGAGCCGTGTCTGGGTTCCTAAGACCTTCGGAAATCTGTGTTTTCCACAGGTTGGGAACTGCTGCTTTAGAGGCTTATCAAAAACACTGCCATAAAGGGAAATTCTGATACCTGGCTTTTCATTATTTGATAAATGCCTTACCAGGGCAGGAACCTATTATGCATCAGAAACAAAAGAAGAGTAGTCATTCTTTTCCTTCCCTTTCTCTGAGAAAATACTTTGTTAAAAGGTTTTTGTTTTTGTTTTTTCTTTCAGGAGCCTGGCGATGCAGCACAACAGGAAGCAAAACACAGGTCTGGCCCGGCGCTGGGAACACAGTCTTTTTCAAGTCCCGATTTTAACGCAGCAGCCTGTGGGCACAGTGGTGACTCTCGGGGCTGCCCTTGCTGAGGGGTTGCTATGAGTATGCATGGACTCAGCTGTCAGGGAGTTTGGTTGTTTTGTTTGTCTTTAACATGCGTGTGAGCATTAACGTTTTCTGGCATAATAACAAACTCACCGGCATGGAGTCAATTATGACTCACTGACCCTCTCAGACAGAGTAGACCTGCCCGTATGGATTTCTGAGACTGTAACTCTTAACAGGAGTAGAAAGCTTCATCTTTCTCCCACAACCCGCTGATCTTGTGATTAGCAGACCACAGTATAACCCACTATTGCCACCAAAGTGCCTTTTTACTACATACTGATTTAAAAAAAAGAAATAATCATTGTCTTCATTATTCTTTGTTAATAAGTTTAAATGGAGCCCCACAGCACTTATCCCATTGTTGTGCAATCTCTTGTTTATTTCTGTACTAAACAATGAATAGCCTTAAAAGTGAACATAATAGTACAAGTTACCACTATTGTAAGGATCATGTGAATACCTTTAGTTAAGTGACCAATAAGTACTGTTCGCTATTCCACCACAGGTAAAGTGCCTCACGCATAGCAGGTGGGCTGAATGGTATTCGATTGCTCCATCTCACCACCTTTTTAACGCATTTCATTCATTCTGAGATTATTGTTGAGCACCCTTGGGTCAGGCATGATATCGAATCTTTAGAAATTAGCAGGGGCAAGAAAATCTGTTTGCTGAAATGCATCTCAAAGTTACACTCATCCTAGAATCTTCCAGAGGGTATTTATATCTCTGTCCTCACCTTGGGGACATATTTAACTGGAGACCTTAAAATGAAATTCTCTGAGATTTCACATAGTTGGATAATAGTTGATTGGACGGCTGACAGCACGGCCAGCCACTCCACTGGAGAAAGCGGAGGCTGTCTGCTCGCATAAAGACGAATAGCATTGGAGGCTGTATACAGGCCCTCTGATTTGGAGTCAGCTCCGTGGCAGTGGGTTTTTTGTTTGCTTCGTGTTTCCACCCAAGAAGTGTGAACGACAGACCTGCATGGTTAAAGCTTGCAGCTAGAATTCTAAGGAACTTTGTACTTTCTCTTCCTCCCTGTGAGCCAAGGTGAATGCTTGCATACTTACTCGCTGGCAGATTAGTGTCTTGTTTGCTTTGTAATGAGGATGTTGCTCTTGGGTATGGCAACTTTGAGTGGTTCTGTCTCCTTTTACACCTCATTTGGAGTGCTATTTTTTTAGAAATCTATACAATTATGGTATGGCTCATAGTCACATCTTAGATTCTGTGCAGTACAGTAGTTGTTCATGGCTTGAGTGATAAAGTGGCAGTACTTGGTAGAAATAAAAATGGTGTATGGGAGCATCTTCAAGGGCTCCGCAGATAAGTGTGGTTAATGGGGACGGCCAGCCTCAATTCCCGCTTAACTGCCAAAGCAACTCTTTGGTCAATTGTGTTAATGGGCTCCTTGAGAGACTTAATTTTTCAGGGAGAAAACAGAAAGCCCCTGTCATATGAACCTGAAGTAAGCCCACTTTTCTTAGGTAGGAGGAAGAAGCAAAGCTAGTTGGTGTTAAGTGCCATCAAATCAGTTCCAACCCATAACATCCCTCTGTATAACTGAATGAAACTCCCTGAGTCCTTTGCTACAGCCACGTGTCAATCCATCTCATTGAGGACCTTCCTCTCATGTGCTCTGCTCCTCCACTTTAACAAGCATGCTGTCCCTCTCCGTGCACTGGTCTCTCCTGACAACATAGCCAAAGTATGTAAGACGAAATCTTGCCATCCTTTGTTCTAAGGAGCGCTCTGGCTGTACTTCCAACCAGATTGTTTTTTAGGGGTGCTGGGAGGAAATTATAACTATCTAACTGTCCCTGGTTTGCTTTTGTCTGTTTTGCTAAAAGGACAAGGATACAGTTACGATTTCCTTGCTCCCCGCCCATCCCCCCACCCCCCTCCAATTTTTCTGTCTACACACACACTCATCCTGGAAGAAGTACAACCAAAATGCTCCATGGAAGTGAAGGTGGAAAACTGTGGGAAGAGGCAGGAGCGGGACAACATACAGGCAGAGCCCCAAAAGACCATGGTGGGAAGGAGTGGGACAACATACAGTGGACAGTGGGGCACAATGATTGAGTGACTACCCTGCCTCCCCAAGTCTGGACCTGGGCTGAGGCGCAGGCAAGGCCGGATCAGCTCAGCCAAAGGGGTGGTAACGGAAGAGCACAACAGGAGGGAAGAGCACAACAGGAGACCGATGAGGTTGTCAGTGAAACCCATGTGTGCAAAAGTGGAGACAAAGTCAAGTAAACAGGAAAGGATAAATCTGAAGAGGAAAAAGTTCAAGGAAAAGGGAGCAAAGGGAAACCAGGCTGAAACAGCTAACCAAGAAACTAAAGATTTACCTGCCAAAAATGGAGAAATGAAAAATGAGAAGTCCACCCTGTGATGAAGCAGGAGGAAGACAAATTAATGTGTATTGTGTCTTTCCAGTGGGCCCTGTTATCTCCCTTCTGGTCCAATCCATAGGAATTGTTTCTTTTTTTTCCCCAGAGGAATATTTTCATCAACTATTTTGTAAATGCAAGTTTTTTAGTAGCTCTAGAAACATTTTTGAGAAAGAAATCCCATTTCATCCCTTTTTTTTTAAGTGTAAGTGCTTTTTCTTAAGATGTGAAATCATTTACTGGTTGTTTATTTTATGGTACAACTAGAAAATAGTGGGATGTTGAATTGTGGGAAGATTTAACTGTTTTGGGTGTCAACATTCCATGGGGTGGTGGGTAGTTTTTATATACCTAATACAAAACATATTTAATGGCAATTTGGAGTCACTGTCATCCATTGTATGACTTGAACATTTAAAATGTGTTTCCATGTTCTTAATAGAATTGTCTGAAAACCATTGTCATGGCTTTCTTGTCAGAACTGTGCATTCTGTAACACCTTTGGTTGTGGTAGTCCAGTTTTCCTAATAACTTTGTTATGTGCTGTGAAGGGTTGAACATTTGAATGTGTAGTGTATGTGACATTAAATTGTGACAGTGGGACACATCGCTTCTCGGCCTTCTGGCTAAGGTCAAGTGTAGTGAACTAGTGGGACTTAAGATGTAACAGTTTATCAACATTTGAAGATAATGGTACTTGATAATCTCTTTGAAAATTCGCCTCCAAGTTTAAAACTGGAAAGTCTCTGGAATTTAGAAACAAATTTTATCTACATGCCATTTTAGGATTTTGGTATGTGCATTAAGGATGGTGTACAAATTGTTCATAATGTCTCTGTCCTGACTCAAAACAACCAATGGTATGCCAGTTACAAAAACAAAAAAGAGCAGTAGTGAGGATGGTCCGTCTTTTGCCAAACACCCTTTGGACATGTCATCAGGAGAAATCAGTGTCTGGGAAAAGAGCATCATGCTTGGTGCGGGCCATCGAAAAAGAGGAATCCTGTGGATAAGGTGGATTGACAGTGGCTGCCAAGAAGCAATTGTGAGGATGGCACAGACCAGGCAGTGCTTTGTTCTCTTGTTCATAGGATCGCGTGGTCGGGACTGACTCATGGCACCTAACAACAGCGTACATGCGAGTCGATGCGTCATAAAACCAAAAACTGGATCTAGCTCTGCATGTCTCAACGTGGCCCTCCCAGATCTGTTTCTTCATCTCTGAGGGCATCACACTGATTAATCTCTTGGTCCTCTTCATTCCCTGCTAGCCCACCACAAATTGATACCACTCACTAGGGTACTTAATGGTGGTGGTAATAGTTAAACAGATTCCACCCTGAATTAGGAAAATTCAAAGTTTTTCTTCCAATAAAAATAGCAGTCAATAAATAGTAAAAAAAAAAAATATTGCTACTAAGTGTCCCGTTCATACATGTACAGTTTTATACGCATGTCTCTGCGGTCAGTGGATAGTTGCAGACCTGTTCTCCAGTCATACACTTGTTTTAGGAGTCCTTAAAAAGAAAAAGGTCCAATCAAAACTGCTGTCTGAGCAATCTGCTGGGCCAGTTTCTTTGAAGGCAGAAGTCAAGCTTTTTTTTTTTTTTTTGGATCCTCAAAAGAGTTTCTTCAAAGACATAGGGTGATCGTGGAAGCTATTAGGAGAACGTTTTAGAGAAAATAGAAAGCTCATTGTTGAGGAAAAAAGACTGAAGAAGTTTTTCCCATCACGACAGTCTTCAAGGAAAGCAAAGGTTGTCCTATGAAATCTTACCAGGAAACCTTCCCCATCAACCCCACAACCTTGATCTTGCCTCTTCAGGCTGCTTTTGTCCTGAAAACTCAAAAAATAGTGAAAAGGAACGCAATGTTGAGTCCCTCAAGGACACCAAAACTGCCGTTTTGATGAGCAGTAGATCGAGTGCAGAGTCCTCTAGGGAAGTGCCTGCACAGGTGCATAGACCAAGTTGGAGGGACGGCAGGCGCCTTGAGGTCAAAATGTATTATTATTTGATCTCCCTTTTGATCCATTTCAAAGCTGTTTCCGTTTTGTTTTTGTAAGTGAAGAAAATACATGTGGATTAAGCCCCTGGTGATTCCCCTCTGACCATGGACCAAGGGATGTGAATAGTCTTGCAAAGTACATTGGAAAGTGGATTTTTGCAGATGCAGTTAGGTTAAAATTTAGCACCGTATCATTTGATCTCCTTTATGATCCATTTACATTTGTTCTAGTTTTTAATATTTTCTACTGTTTGTATTTTGCTTTAGTTCATTATTGTTGCTTGTTTTCTTAGTGTTTCTCTGTATATGGAATCCAGTAGGTACATTTATAGAGACAGTAACTGGATCAATGGCTCCTTGGGATGGGAAGGCAGGGTAGGTGGGAAGGAAACGGGGAGCTAATACCGATGAGGACAAGAGCTAAGAAAATATTCCCAAACCGATTGTGGTGAAGATTGTACAACTCTTCTTCTTGTGATTCAACTAGTTAATTGTGTGATATGTGAGTTATATGCCAATAAAATTGTTGGTGATAACAAAGCCTAGTGACCTGGTCAAAAACTGTGGAGCACAGCGCACCTCTCTAAGTGCAAGGCCTTCACAGCGTTCAGTGAACACTGCCGTGACCTTTCATTCCCTTCTTCCATGAACTTTGGAATCTGCCTTCGCCACGGGGTTGCCATAGAACGGATTTAACAATAACTCTTTGTAACTTTATTTTTAAAATAAGTCAATTTAAGTACATAGACCTAATTGGAGGGTATGTCAAAAAAGAGCAGCTTCACATTTTGATAGTTTTTTCCTATGATTCTATAGAAATACGCTTTGACTACCCTCATGTATAGCTGGCTTTGATGACAAGGATATTTAATCTATAATTGTTGCCTTCTGCACAGCACTGACTGTGAAGTGCAGACTTCCATCTTGAAACACTTGTTGAATTCAGTAGAAATGCTGGCTGCTTGATTTTAACCGTGCTTGCCCTGTGTTTTTGTTGTAGGGAAGCAGAAATGAGAAACAGTATCTTAGCCCAAGTTTTGGATCAGTCAGCCCGGGCCAGATGTAAGCATCTTCAGTTTCCTTTACTTCCAGGTCAAATCCGATTGGCTATAGTTAGTTGAGAGAGAGAGAGAGAGAGAGAGAGAGAGAGAGAGAGAGAGAGAGTGTGTGTGTGTGTGTGTGTGTGTGAGAGAGAGAGAGAGAGAGAGAGAGAGACAGACAGACACCTCTCTGGATTATTTAATCTAAATGCATTTGAAATACAGATTTTTTTCTAAGTATTGTGACATTTATCAACCTAAGGAAATGTACTTAAGTCATCACAAGTACCAGCTCAATTGTTGTACTCAGAGATGTTTTCTGTGTATCTGGTAAAATGTAGAGGAAAAATTCAGTTGGGTTAGCTGTGGATGTGGGAGATGAGGGTTTGTGGGCCTATTCTGTATTTTAGCACGGTTAGAACTTTTCATAACGAAAACAGGAAAAATGGGTTGTGGAGAACGAGCTCATGTTTTTTGTATTACTTGAAGCCGTTTGAATTTAGAAGAGGCAGCTTTACATGAATTAGCACCATTGTTTATCTTTGGCAAAAAGTGTTGGTGCTTGGGAGTGTTTGTTCAGCTTAGGCGTGGCTTGGTAGATATGTTGGTGGTGTCAGATGATCATGTATAAAAATAAACGGCTTTCCAATGGGCATATTTTTAAAAGGCAGAATTTAATCCTGGCCTGACCAGTCCATGTCCATGTCTTGACTAAGACTGGTGGGGCTAAACTTTTGTTTCCCTGTCTTTAAGAGAGGTGACAACACTGTCTCCTTACCTACCTTGATGGTCCCAGGATTTAAAAAGTAATGGCTGTGCCCTGCTCTGGCACCGTCAGCACCTAATTTTACAATGTAAGAGCAGTGCATTTCCTTTTGACACCCAGTGTGTGTGCTCTTGTTTTCAGTAAGTAACTTAGCCCTTGTAAAGCCTGAGAAGAGTAAAACGGTAGAGAATTACCTGATACAGATGGCGAGATATGGCCAGCTCAGTGGGAAGGTAAGTTTGAACTGCTTTCCAGCCGCTCCGGCTCTTGTTACTTATTTTATTAGAACAAGTCTTCTGCAGGTCAGTTTCATCTTCATCTCCTTACAGAACCCGTGTTGACTATTCAGGGGAGGTTAACGGGGACGGGAAAAGTGGATGGGGAGTAACGAGGAGGCCCAATGTGAAGGAGGTAGCCAGTCTCTCCAAAAAGTCTATGTGGAAATGTTGACCTGGAAGCCTGTTTTCCTGTATATACTTTCACCCACGATACAGTTACATATTTGAAAGAGTGGCCCCACCTGTATGGGGACCCTTTGCTGCCACTGCAGTCTACAGGGTCAGCCCTTCCTGGAGAACCACTTAGAGAAAGTGCTGCCAGGTCAGTGGTCTTGGGAAGAGCATGCTGTAGGCCCTTGAAGATAGCATTTTCATTTCTCAGGCAGAAGAGCTGTTTCCACTGTACCCCGCACAAAGAACATAGTGGTCAGTGGAGCTGATGGTAGTTTTCTCCTAATAGCGACAGATGAGTTTTTCAGAACCTTGTAAACCACTATTTACAGTGGCTTCAGCCTCCTCCCTACCACTCCTCCCTCCCTCTCTGCCCACACATCCCAGAAAGACTGTAAATGATTAAACCTGCTGGAGAGGTAAAGTCTTTGTTTCCTAAGTACCATTTTCCTTTTTTGGTTACCCTAGGTATCAGAACAAGGTTTAATAGAAATCCTTGAAAAAGTAAGCCAACAAACAGAAAAGAAAACCACAGTTAAAGTAAGTTTTCAAAGCCACACATGGTTTATAATAAAATACATTTTTTACATGTAAGTGGTGGGCACATCCCTGGTCAGAGATTTTCATTTTATAACAATGGGAGTTCAGGGACAAAAACTGAATGTTTGGGGGAAGAGAGTAAACATGGATACTATATGTAAGGCTTGTCTGTGTGCCCCTGCCTGCCAAACACACGTATACTCAAAACTCAACTCAAAAATAGAAAATATATGTAAGGCTTTTTTTGTGTACTCCCTGACTGCTGAAAACACACACACACACACACACACACACACACACACACACATTTAATCCACACAACGTGAAGTAGGCAGAAAGTTTTCTCAAAATCTTCCTGATGCTTTCAAACATGTGGTGACATCTGTTTCTCTCTCCCCGCCCCCGCCCCGCCCAGTTCAACAGAAGAAAAGTAATGGACTCTGATGAAGATGACGATTATTGAACTGGCATGACCAGCCTGAGCTGAATGGAACAGTTCTAGGACAGATGGCACTCGGCAGAAGTTATGATCTGATTACATGTTTACTTTGTTTATAGTCTCTATGTCTTTAAAAAAATAAACTTCTTGTCTAAAACGCTGTTTTAGTGCCATAATCAGGTGATCGGGAGATGGCATTTTGAATGTTCTCCTTTCCTACCAAAAGTATTTAAACACATCATCAATCCGTCCCGTGAAGAGTCCTTCCAGTTTGGGAAACGCCATGGGGCAGGTCTCCTTTGCCCTGACAATAGGTCATTCGGGTGAGCAGCATGAGAGTGGAGTGCCTATTAACTGAAGGTGGGAGTTGGAATCTACCCAGAGGGCCCTGAGAATAGATTTGGTGACCTACTCTTGGAACACCAGCCATGGAAAACCCTGCGGTGGAGCACAGTTGTTCTTAAAAGCGTTGGGTTTGGTTATTTCACAGCATGGACATATGTATTTTTGCAATTGTGACACCTGTGGTTCAGTTGGGGAAAGGGCCACAGCAGGAACAAGCTGCCAGAGCTCTAGTGAGTAAACAATGTGCTGCAGCAGCCAACAGTGTCGTAAAGATCAAAATCCATGGGTTAAGGTAAATAAACATTTGCATTTGGGTACATTTAATACATCCAACACATGTCTGAAAGCAAAGAAGTGGTTTTTCTTCTACAGAGAATTGGGAATGCTACTATTTAATGTAGGACAGTACCTCTACCTAAAGCCCTTCACAGTTGCCCTTCAAAGGTCCAGATTAAATGACCTTTCAAATATTACTTCCACCCAAAATAACTGAACTAGAGTGATCCTTCCATTGAGGAAAATTACCAAAATAACTGGGCCATGCTGGTAGTAACAGTTCCAGAATAACAGGCATGTTTGTACAAGGAATGACTTCTAATGATTAAAAGCCAGTTGGGGTAGTGAAGCAATTTTTAACTAGAAAGTGACTTAAAATATCTCTTTCAACTCTGCTTTATTCTCACAGGATTATTCAAGTCACACACTTAGGTTGTAGGTCCGGTTTTAGAAGAATCAAACTTTAGCCTACATAGTCTAAGGTAAAATTTTTATCAGGAATTATGAAAAATAAAAATCTCAGTTACAAGTCATTTTGCTTTTGCCTTGCTTCATTTACATAAAAATGAGATTAGACAATTCTCAGAGGTCACTGCCAACCTGGCCTGGCCTTGGCTCAGATCTCCAGCAAATCAGCTGCCTTACAAGGGGGCTACACAAAAATTGGTGGGAAATGGAATTTCCCCATGAACTTTGTGAAACCCTTGTCATTTCTCTGAATCTTTTTCCTCATTTGATAAGTGTACCACCAGGTGATGGTTAGAATTAAATAGGACGCTTTTTCAAAATTTGATTACACTACCAAGAAAGTTCAGTGGTTATCAAATTTATGTTATTTGCAGCTTGAAGGTGACTGTTGAGGAACTAAAGGTGGACAGTATCCTAATTAGATGCTTTAGACCAGTGGTTCTCAATCTGGGGGTCACAACCCCTTTGGGGGTTGAGTGACTTTCACAGGGGTTGCCTGATTCATAACTAGCAAAATGACAGGAATTAGCAACGACAATAATTTTATGGTTGGAGGTTACCACATGAGTAACTGTATGAAAGGGTCGCAGCATTAGGAAGGTTGAGAACAATGAGGTGGCTTTGTTTAAAAGCGAGGCAAGCAGATGGGCAGAGAAGCTACCTAGACTGTAAATATGTATTATATTCATTTCATTCTTCCTTTAAAAGGAATTTCAACATTTGTGTGGTTCCTAGAAGTCTTGTCGGGGCTCCTGGGCAGTGCACATTAAAAAGTACATGAGATGCACTACGAGGTCAGCAGCCTGCACCCACCTAGAAGCCCCTAGGAAGAAAGGCCTGGCCATCTGCTTCCAAAAAGTCACAGCCTTGGTTGGGGCTGTTCCACTCTGCACATGTGAGGCTGCCACAAGTCAACACCGACACAATGTCAAGTTCTGTGGGCCCTGGGCACTGGAGGAAGCAGGCCCACGTCAGGTAGCAGTGACCTGCTGTGATTAACCGTGGGGCTTGGTTTCAATCACAGAGAGCTACCTGGAGAATAAAAGGCCCGCCCATCCAGCCATCCACCCACATCCATCCAACGGGAAGTCCCGTTTCCATACACAAAGAAAATGTGAACAACCGAGCAGCCAAGGAATGCTTTCTCTCTAGCAAAATATCAACTGAAGAAGTGGACCAGGACACAATAAGGAATCTTAAGGTTTACTGTTTCTTTCCCAGCATTTGGCACATATCCAAGGCACATTAGAAAACTAGAAATCATAAATTACTTTGTAGAAAAATAACCAGGCCCTCCAATCTATACACATACAAGCCACTTCCAGGAACATGTAGACACACCCCATCCCTGTTAATGGAGTTCCTAGGTGTACTCAGGCCAAACCCAGGTTTGCGGTTCCACACCAGCTGATAACCTAAAAAAATAATTATCATTTCTAGAAATTTATAAAAAGGAATTAATGGCAATCAAGTCTAACTTAAAAATAACTTGGCCCTGGCTTGTGCTCTAAGTTTAGAACTTGAATAAAAAGACTACAGAAAGATGTGCCCAGTCTCCTCGTGAATCCAGTCACCATCCTTCAGGTGTGGCATGAAGGTAGGGAGGCCCCTCCTGGGACGGGGCGTGTCTACCAGCACTGTCACAGGTGTGCACTGCAGTGACCAGACAGCTCTACTTGAGAGGAAACAAACTTGGCTTTTCTATGTACAAAGGACAGCTCGAGCAGGTCCTCTCGATGAAAATGAATGTGGGCATGGCATTTAGGCATCTTTGGGTTCAAGTGCTGCTTTGCAAAGGGGCATTTTTCTGGGATGGACTTTCTTTACTGAGATGTGACTTCCCTGCTTGGCCTGCCTCCTGCCGTAGCAGGCGGCCTCCGAAGCGTCTGTTCAGGTGTCCAGGCGAGGATGCGCGTGCAGCTCGGGGTCTGCTCATGCATTTGTGGCACAAAGGGTTAGCACCTTTCCGCAGAAGCTGAGGACCTGGTGACGCAACCTGGTGCTGTCTCCGTGAGCCCTAACACTTAACAGGAAAGTCAGCCCTGAGTCCCTGTTGTCCACTCCTTCTAAGTGTGCTGACTAGCTCTGAAGAGGAAGGAGAGACGTGATGGGAAAAGCTGTCGGAACTTCCTGCTGCAGACCGACTCCAGGAAGCCAGTTATTTGAAGGTACGCTGAGCTGTGTTCTGATTGGCTTCAGGCCTGGGAGATACTGGCTTCCTGGGGAGCGGTGAGGTCGCCGGTAACCTCTGGGCCTATGGATCCCACTGCCTCATTGACTGTGTGTCTTGGCAGCATCCTCCGGTTCCCTGGGGCAGCCTGTCCCGGTGCGGGCCTCGAGGACTGGTCACCATGCCCCATGCCAGCTGTTGGAGGTCTGCAGGGGTCTGGCCGGTGAGTCTGTTTCAGCGTGGCTCTTTGCCTCTCTACCTACAGAAAAGGTGTAATTCAGTCCACACCATCTCTCCACCCCGACCCTAGCACAGTGCTGAGGATGCAATAGGGCCACGATTTCGGGTCTAGCATCCCTGTGGAGCTAGCATGATATGGGACTCTGCAAATGATGACAGCATCTCACCCTTAAACTCATACCTCTAAGAAGCCCAGACTCTTGTTGCCCCCATGTTACAAGATTAGCAACCTGCCCCAACAGCAAGGACAACGGGGGGTGGGGGGGCTGAACTGGGCAAATTTCAGAGTCTGCAGCTGGGGAAGAAGACTAAATAGCAGAACACAGCAAATGTCTCTCAGATAAAAAGGATGAGCTTCAGGATCTTTGCTCAAACAAATCACCCCCAAAAGCCCCAAACCCAACCCGCTGTTAAGGAATTGGTTCTGACTCAGAGCGACCCTGTGTAGGCATCTGGGGCTGTCCGTCTTTACAGGAGAGGACAGCCTCCCAGGTCTCCTGCGGACTGGCTGGTGGTTAGCAGCCCATTGCTCGCCAGTAAGCTCCAGACTGGTGAGCTTAACTAGGAGAGAGCCGTGCGTCCATGAAGCGTGGCATTATCTCCAGGGCCACAGCTCAGAGCCATGCTGAAGTGCCAGTGGGGTGGCCATGCTGGGGCTGTCCACAGAAGTGATTTTATTCTGTCTGGAGGGTGTTTTCACCCAACCACATACTAAAGGGAGACTGTTAAACCGTGCTCACAGGGCAGTGTTTCACTCACCTGATGCAATGCGCCTTCAGTAAGATCAGGCACACTTCGATCTCTTGCTATCATCTCCTTAGAAGTCCTTGCCCTGAAATCCAAGAGAAACATCCGGGATAACGAAAAAACCAAGCCTTGTTGCCGTCAAGGCGATTCAGAAGCATAGCAACCCCACAGGACAGAGGCAAACTGATGCACAGGCTCCGGAAGCCGTAACCTTCCTAGAATGGGCCATCACACCTTTCTCCCATGAGGCTGCTGGTGGGTAAAACTGCCGGCCTATCAGCTAGCTGTGGGGCATTTAACCATTGTGCCTCCAAACAGAGAGCCAGACCCACTGCTGACTCGTCAACTCTGGCTCTTAGCAACCCTAGAGGGCAGTAGAAGTGCCCCTGTGGGTTTCCAAGCCTGTGGCTTGTAAGGAAGCAGGGCGCCTCAGCACGGAGCCCAAACCACCAACCTTTTAGCTGCAGCTGAGCGCTCAAACAATGTGCCACCAAAAAGAAAATCTCTGTCTTTCCCACTTCCTTGATAAGTAAACAGCAGTCAACAGCACAGGAACCAACTTGAATTTTACACTTACTTAAACTGACCGGTCGAGGGGACAAAGTAAAACTGCCTGGAGAAAGGTTCATTGGGTAAATCACACATTTTTGAGTTCCCTGCAAAGGAAAGAGACATTTCTCAACTCTTCAGAATAGCATGAGGGCCGGTTTATGGTTAAAGTACGGATATAATCAGTAACTCCATGTTCGTAGGTTAGTAAGATTTTAAAAACAAAGCATTGGCTTTGCTTTAAAAAATATATGAGACGATACCTATGAATCTCTGTGAAATTCTGTGAATTTCTCATAAAACAGAAAGTGAAATCCTCGATACGCACAGATCCATGCCACAAAGCCCTGGCCAGTTAGGGTGAGAGAGTACAGAGCTCCCCGATATGTGAGTGTACCCACATCAGTGCACTGCATACCTTGTTCTCATTCAAGAAAGAAAACAAGAATAACTTTTTAAAAAAAGACTTCATACTCAACCCTGAATGGTAACTGCTGTTGTCATCTCCATCAGCCTCCAGGATGCTCAGAAGAACACCTGGCTTCCGAGCCCAAGGCAGGAGAGCCCCACCACAGGTTGCCCTCCACTCCACTAGCTGCCTTAAGCTAAGGCCGAGGGAGTTTCCCCAGGAGGCAGCATCACCATCCACTGGAAAACTGGCGACAACAGTCCACTGGTGACTGAGGACGGGCTGTCCATGTCTTCTGACATCTTATGAAATCAGCAAATACCCCTGGGTTTCCCCTTCAGCCCAAGCTGACAATGACAGAGCGAAGGCCGACACTTACATTTTTTCCTGATCGTGACAGTAATGTACTCTTTGTCATCTGTTTCATCAGCATCGTCCAATGCAGCAACACATCTTGGGACTACTTGGAGCAATTCCATTATTTTCGAATTCTACAATTTGGGAAGGAAAAACATGACAGCAATTAAATTTTAAAAAAATCAGGGCCTGGACCTGAGCTGGACACTCCGGGCAGGTACTGGCGTGCTCTGTGCCAGTGGGGCTGACAGGAACAGGTCCCAGTGAGAACTGGCTGAACCCAGGGCCCACCGCCTGCTGGTGAGCTGCCTTGGGCTCATGACAACTCCGTGTGCCCCGAGTCGAATGGACTCCACAGGGATGTCAGGGCCTGGTCTTTGGGAAATGAATTTCCAAGTGGTTTCTGAGGTACTGCTGTGTGGACTTGAGCTTCCGACCTTTTGGTGAGCAGCCAAATGCATGCCCGGGCACCCAGGGCAAGGCCTAAGACATGCACACAGTAAGTGCTCAGTGAAAACAGAGCACCATCACACTGAAATATTAGAATACTTCAACTCTGCTAAGAAATGCCACTGAACATTTTTAAATGATCTAGGGAGAAGGTTGGATTTAGGGGACCCTGCCAAGTGTGCCACTGACCAGCCTCCTGGTTGTTTATTGCAAGTAGTGAACAGAATAAAAGGTTCAGCGTGAAGCAGGGACAAAAATAGACTTTTTCCTCACCATTTCCCCGTGGCAAACACTTGGAGAACACAAACCAAACTCACTGCCGATTCTGACTCAGGGTGACCCTACAGGGACAAGGAGAACTGCCCCTGTGGGTTTCTGCACCTCGGATTCTTTACAGGGAGCAGCAGATGGTTTTGAACTGCTGACCTTGCAGTTAGCAACCCAACATTTAACTCACTAGGCCACGAGGGCTCCTTTCCAGGGCACTGGAGAGTGTTAAAGCAGGAGAGATGTTTTGGGTTTTTTTTTATTATTTCATGGGGGCTCATACAACTCTTATCACAATCCATACATACATCAATTCTGTAAAGCACATTTGCACATTCGTTGCCCTCATCATTCTCAAAACATTTGCTCTTCACTTAAGCCCTTGGCATCAGCTCATTTCCCCCTCCCTCCCTGCTCCTCCCCCTCCCTCATAAACCCTTAATAATTTATAAATTATTATTTTGTCTTATTTTACACTGTTCGACGTCTCCCTTCACCCACTTTTCGGTTGTCCATGACCCAGGGAGGAGGTTATATGAAGATCCGTGTAATTGGTTCCCCCTATTTACCCCACCCTCCCGGTATCGCCATTGTCAGCACTTGTCTTGAAGGGATCATCTGTCCTGGATTCCTTGTGTTCCCAGTTCCTATCTGTACCAGTGTACATCCTCTGGTCTAGCCAGATTTTTAAGGTAGAATTGGGATCATGATAGTTGGGGACAGGAAGCATTTAGGAACTAGAGGAAAATTGTATGTTTCATCATTGCTACACTGCACCCTGACTGGCTAGTCTCCTCCCAGCAACTCTTCTGTAAGGGGATGTCCAGTTACCTACCAATGGGTCTTGGGTCCCCAATCTGCACAGCGAGAGAGAATTCTTGTTGGAAGTGTTCAGGGAGGCCCCTGGCAAGTAAGCACAGCTCCCCTTGCAGAATTCAGGAGCTTCAAATCCACACGCTCCGCACACTTCCTCCCTGGTGCACTGCTGGCATGGTGAAACCAGGACACCGCCTTCCCTGCTACCTGTCCTCAAACCACGCTCCATCCCCCACAGACCTGGCTGCAAGTGAGAGGTGCCAGAACAAGGGGCCTCCGCCTGCAGTGGGTGGGGCGACTCCTCTCACCTTTACAAACTAGCCTTGGAAGGATGCCGCCAAGCTCCTCATGCAGGTGATGGAGGGCGGCCTTCCTGTCAGCCCCACGATCCAAGAGTGTGCTCAGGACTCCAGCAGGAACTCCCGAGCAAGCACTCCAGGAGCCAGAGTGCCTTGGCAGGTGAGCCCTCTCCACGTACCTGGTCAGCACAGTCCACCGCCGTGCAGTGCCTCTTGTTCAGGACCTGCACGGACGCGCCATGAAGCAGCAGCAGCTCCACCACGAAGACGTGCTTTGCGATCACCGCCTCGTGCAGGGCAGTGTTGCCTTTATTGTTGGAAGCGTTCATGGAGGCCCCGTGCTAGAAAGGGAAACAGCACAAGGCAAAGTAAGGCTGTGACGCAGGAATGCCGATGCTGGGGTCCAGGCACTACAAAATGCTGTCCACTCTTTTGCACATCTGAAGATGTCTGTAATGCCATGCTGGGGGCACAAGTCCCACTGAGAGGGCTATGCACAAAGATGGTCAGGGCAGCACACTCCTCCCCAGAACAGAGATGGAAACAGAAGCCACTCCCACGTACGGAGCAGCAGCAGCGAGGCAAGAAAAGCATGCAAGGGGAGAGCCATGGCTATGCGACCCTTCAGACAAGGTTTGCATAACCCATTTCAAGAACAGGAATTTTACAAACCACTTCCTTCAGAACAGAGAAATAGTAACAATCTTCTATGGTAGATGAAAAAAAGCAGGATGGAAAACAATACTAACCTCAACGTTACCCATTTGTCAAGCCCCCCCGATGACGTGCCATGGGGTCAATTCGGACTCAGTGCAGCCCCACAGGGCGAGACCATCCCCGAGCACCGCTGCATGCTGGGGGAGCTAGGTCAGCCCCAAGAGGAAGCCATGCCTCACTCAGAGACACGGACTGACACAGGCCGCAACAGCGGGCTCCCGCAGCTCGCTGAGGACGGCGCAGAGCCCGGCGCGCCGCTCTGTTGTCCGTGAGGCTCACTGAGTCGGCACTGACGTGTTGGCACCTAACAGCAGCAACGAAATTACCTGCCTGCCTATGAGCAGGGTGATTTCCCTGCGGCCTTAAATTCTTAACAACCAGCATATATGGCCTTCATCGTGTGAGCGGGGAAAACAGATAGTGTTGAAAGGGTACAGATTTTGCTAAGGGCAATGGAAAAAACTGGAAACAAGAGGATGCTGATGTTTGCATATCATCTCTGATAGCGACCCAGCAGCCCAGAGCAGAATAAGCCCTGTGGGCTCCCCAGCCTGTAACCCCAACAGGAGCAGACAGCCTCCTCTTTCTCCTGAGGTGCGGCGGGTGAGCTGAACTGCTGAGCTTACGGCAGGCAGAACCCACTACGCCACAGGGTGCCTGCATGTAATCAATATTACGTGACTTCCAAAAGTACATGAAAAGTGGAATTAAAGGTCATGGGATATTTCCACGAATGTTCTGAAGACACCTGCTATTTCGCCACAAAAAAATAAATTTCAAAAAGGAAAAAGTAGCAGTGACGTTGGAGGACATTGAGCTTCTATGTCAGCCAATAATTCAACTTCCTCATAGCAATGGGGCGAGACACAAACCCTGGGCCTAAGCCGTCTAAAACCTCTCTCGGCCTCCTGACGCAGCACTGCCCGAGCCCTGGCCTGGCTCCCGGGAAGGCAGGTGAGGGCCCAGGGAGAGCAGGCCGCAGCGCTGTCGGGGGCTCACCTGCAGCAACAGCGCTGCGACCTCGTGATGGCCACTGGCGCAGGCGTAGATGAGGGGCGTGCTTCCACTCAGGTCCTTTGTGTTGGGTTTCGCGTTCGCCTCGAGCAGACACCTCACCACCTAGCCCCGAGAAGGAGGGTGTTCAGCCTGAGCTCCCACTTGCAGGGTGACAAACACAACAACACGACATTCTTTTTACCTTCTCCAGGGTTCTTTCCAGGCCCTCAACAGACCCTCGGGAGAAAGGAGAGCCCTGGGGAGGGAGCAGAGGTCCCCTCTGCCGAGGGCCTCCCACATGCTCAGCACGAGCTTTCTCGTTTCATCTTTGTATCGAGCCTCTGGAGAGTCGCAGACTGCTCCGGGTGGGCAGGCCAGGGGACTACCCGTGGGCGCTCAGTGGGACAGATGGGAGAAGTGGACCAGGAGGGCAAGTCAAGGAGGCCTGCTATAAAAACTCAGAAACCTTTCAGAAACAAAAATATCAAAGTGTGAAGCTATTGTTTCCCAGCACAGCCCTCATGGAGGTCTCTATACTTCTGAAGATGGGGTTTCCATCTCTCTCACCTTCCCCAAAGGATTCTGGGTTGGCGCTCTTGAGGAACTGCAATCTCAAGGGGCAGAATCAGGGCTGTAGGGTGGACGGGGTGAGATTTCCCTATGAGATCTCACAGGACAGCCCTTGCCACCGCTGACGAATGGAACAAGCAGGAGCACTGCTGCGATGGGAGAGAATGACCCGTCCTTTTCCTCACTCGCGCGGCTCCCATCTTCTTACGTTCAGCTTCCTACTAAGCCTCTACGATCGCTCCATGTCCTTCGAGAACATCTATCCAGGTGGCCTCTTTGGAATGCCCAGAAGCATCCCCGTCACCTTCAGAGCTAACCCCTCTGCCTGGAACTCATCTTTGAATTCATCTTCCCGGCCTTCCTGCAGCACTCCTGGCTCCATCTAAACCCGGCCGTGCTCTGCGGGGCAGCGCTCCTGCACACTTGCGGCGGACCTTCAGGGATTTGGGGAAATGGCCACTCGAGTTTGGTTTGATCTTATTACCCCTGACATCAAAATTGGGATTTTGAAGTTATCTTCAAAATTTCATGTTACCCCTGATGTCAAAATAACTTCATTCCAGGATATAAAAAGGTTTTTTGTTTTGTTTTTTTTTTATTTTTATTTTAAAAATCACACTAAGACAAGTGTATCCCTGCCAGCACTTGTCTGCAGCCATCCACTGATCTCAGACATGTGTAAACACTTTTTCTCTGGAATAAGCCCGGCAAGTGTGGCCTGGGACCCTAGGAGCAACACATCTTGACTTCTCCTTGTATGCTCCCGATCTTTAAAAATGCTCACAGCAGAGTTGACAAAGGAAAAGTGTGTGCATGTGTAAAAATTTCACACAGAAAAGCAGGCCTTGAAAAAAGCCAATTCTGCCACAGGGGTCTCCTGTACCTCTTCAGTAAGCCCATGACTGTACTTCATGAGGCACTAAACCACTTGGCACTGACTATGGCTGTGGGGATGCCATGGCAGTAAGATGACCAAGGGCAGGGCCCTTGGTGACCCAACACCAGGGACAGCTCCTGCTGGATGACAGCTCTGCATTCCCAGGGGTGGATGGTGGATGTGGTACCGACTCCCTCGGCAGTTCCAGGTGCTGCTGCCTAGTTCTGCGCTGCCCACAGGTCAGGGCTGGAGGAGGAAGCCTGTGGGCCTCGGGTTTGCCACCACCCCACGCTCGCATCCCTACCACGGAAGGTCTCACCCAACCCACAACCTGCTACACCTCTGCCCAGAGACATAACCGGTACCTCGAAGTGGCCCTTCTGGCAGGCGAGATGAAGTGGAACTGCCTGGTTTGCATTTCGGGCCCCCACGTTGGCACCGTGCTTCAACAGGAGGGGAACGAAGGTGGCACGGCCGTGAAGGGCAGCCACGTGCAGAGCGGAGGAGCCGTCCTGGTTGGTCACATTCACACCAAGCCCACTGGCAGGAATCTTGGCCAGCTTCTAGAAGTGCCAGAAAAAGAAATGCCATTAGTACTTAAGCATATGGAGCAGAACACTATTTTAAAGTTGTGTTGTCCACGGTCATTGTTTTAAGTATATAAAAATGGATTAGGGTTTCCTGCATAGTCAAGTCTCTGCAAATGAGAACAGTCTTATAAAAATCTTCTTTTCCAATCTGGATGCCTTTTATTGATTTTTCTTGCCTTATTACAGTGGCCAGAACTTCCGGCCCTGTGTTGAATAATAATGGTGGAAGTAGACACCCCTTCCTTGGTTTTGGCCTTAGGAGGAAAGCATTCAGTCTGTCAGCGTGTTAGCCCTTGGAGGTTCTGTAGATGCTCTTAATCAAGTTGAGATTATTCCTCTCTATTCCCAACTTGCTGAGCCCGTGTGTCATGAATGGCTGTTGGTTACTGTCAAGTGCTCTTTCTACATCCGTTGATGGGCCATGCGATTTTTCTCTAGCCTGCTGACACTGGTTTCAAAGGTTGAGTCAGCTGTGCATACCTGGAATAAATCCCACTTGGCAGTGGGATGTAATGTAATTCCATTTTTACAAGGTTGGAGCACATTGTTAAGCTTTTAACTGATTTGGTAATGGGAAAAGCTAGAGCCAGATTGAGTGACTGAGCTGGATAATTCCATCACAGTGATGGTGCTTGTGGTCAAAAGGGAACGACTCGGAAGTCTGGCACTGATGGCCTCCCACGTCCCTGGAAGGCCTTTGCTGAGCAGAGTGTGGGGGCTGCCAGTCTTGTAGACTGGTAGCATTCATCATTCCTACCAGCAGGCTCTGCATCCCCATCTACACCGGTTGTTGAATAGGCTTTTCTTGCATTTACTCAAATGTTTTTAAAAACCCTCACGGTCCCCGAGTTGATGCTGACTCATAGTGACCCTAACGGGCAGAACTACCCTGTGGGCCCCCAAGATTGTAACTCTTTACAGGAACAGAAAGCCTCATTTTTCTCCCGAGGAGCAGCTGGTGTTTCAAACTGCTGACTTTGAAGTGCAGCCCAACATGAAACCACTAAGTCACCAGGGCTGCTTAGAGTTAACATGGAAAGGCGTGAGTCCAGGAATAGCTGAAATACTACGAGGAATAAGAGAGATCACAGTGCCAATATTAACAGTTACTAGACATAGAAACCCCCAGAGGCAGCTGTGCCTTGTCCTATAGTTTCCCCAATTCCCCCAGGAGCAAGATCTTGCAAAACTAGTTGATAATGACATTGATACCAACACATCAGAACAGACTTGATGGCATTTCCCCAGAATTATTTACAGATACAATAATCAGTGTGGTATTGGTACAGGATGGAACAGGAAACAGAGACACAGTTAACTGAGTTTTGACAAGGAGCAAAGGGAACTCCTTGGAGGAAGGACAGCTTCTCAACAACTGGGGCTGAAACAAGCAGACGTCCACAGGGGCCAAAGACGAGCCTCAACTTTTGTACCTTGTACAAAATTACAATCTCTCATAGACTTAAAACCAAAAACCTTTTAGAAGAAAACTTCGGCAGTGAAAGAAGTGACTGCTGACTACTACGGGTTACAGATGAGGAGGCGTAAGCAGGGATGAAGCAAAGAGAGGAGTGGCTGTAAAAGGCCACACACACGATGTGTCATTCCTGTGGTGACAGAACCGTGTCTTGGATGTGGTGGTGGATATACAAACCCCCAGGTGATAAAACTATAGAGAATGCACACACACACAGACAAGTGTAAGTAAAACTGAGCACGTGTGAATAATGCTAGCAAGCATTGGGGCAGCTGACCTCAAGGTCGGCGGGTCAAACACCAGCCGCTCCGCAGGAGACACACGAGGGTGTCTCCTTCCGTATATGGCTGCTGAGTTGGAATGGACTTCATGGTAGTGGGTTGGAGTGTTTGGGGATCCATGTCAGTATCGCTGGACTAGGGTTTTATACGACGTTACCCCTGGGGAAACGGGGTACAGGGTACCTGGCAGCAGGGCTCTCCCACAGAAGGGTGTACCGGCGGCCTGAGCGAAGGACGCAATGAAGGAGCTGGCCTGCAGTCTCTTCAGGGGCCTCGTGTGTGTTCACAACCCCTTCCATGTGACCAAAGGGCCCAGACACCAGTGAGCACACCTGTACACTTGGAAAGCCAGGCGCCCAAGCAGAGCCCACATGCATCAGCTACTCCGAGGTGGGTGGTTCAAACCCACCAGCTACTCGTAGAGGAAAAGGTGAGTCTATCTACTTCTGCAAACATTCAGAGTTCCAAGAACCCTACAGAGTCGGAGTCAGCTCAATGGCAGCTGGTCAGCTAGTGGGTCATATCCAGGGGAGGCTCCTGGGAGACACTTAGTAATTATCTGGCTAAGGAGCAGAGACCTTTGAAAGCAGAGGCAAAAGTCCCCCCTCCTAAGGCAGACCTTTTGAGCTGGAGCACATCTGGGGCATTGACACAAGGGGTGGCAAAACTCAAGATCCCCAGCGGCCCCTGCAGCCTCCTCCACGTCCTCCAGCTCCTCTTCTGTCCACTCCAGCAGGTACCGCACCTGAGGTCGGGGGGAAGGAGAAGCAGAAACGTCAAACACCCTTCAGTCCTTTCCAAGGGGCACGATCTTACACACACACACACACACACACACACACACACACAGAAACTGTTCCACACAGGGCCTGCACTTCCTCAAACACCAAAGTTATGTACAGGTGGCTTCTGTTCCCTTCAGAAGAGTCAGCGTCCACCTGAGCCCAACCCTGTCTAAATCCACTCCATGCTGACCTAGGGAGATTGAGCGACCGTGTCTTGTCTACAGCAGGTGTTAGAGAGTTTTCTACTGTTTCCTCAAGAAAGAGGCAGACGGATGTGGGCTCAGGGGTTTGGACCCTGGTTCCTGGGGCACTAAGCGAGGTCCTTCTCTTACATTAGCTAAGGGGGCGCTTTCCAGAAGCAGGGGCCATCTTCACTGACTAAGAGAAAAGGACTCAGGAGAGGTCGGTTACACGTTCAAAGGCACACTCAGCACAAGGCGGGGGTCCAGTGTCCCCCCACCTCCCACACCAGTGCACTTTTATGTAATGTGCTAGCCTGCACACAGCAATAGTAAATGACCTGCAGATTTACATTCTAGACTGAAAAACACACATTTCTAGGTGTGTTTCCCATCGAAGCAAGCATACGCACGGGAGGCATGACAAAGGGCTCCTTAGGCCCAGAGCATCTCCCCTCCTAGGAAGGCCCTTCTGCATCCCTGGCAGCGGCGCCGGGACAGAGGAAGAAGAGCAGTCTCTCCTGACCAGCGCCCGGGAGTAAGAGCGGGGTACTGGACTGGCGGGGAGGGTGATGACCACGAGGGCTGGAGAGTCCGTCTGCCTCACTTCCTCACGAGTGGCCTCAGCTCCCCTCCCCTCCCGGCCCTCACCGGAAGAGGAGCAGCAAGCAGTGTCAGGCAAATACAGACAACAGTGGCCACTCTGACAGGTCAACACCGGCCTCTGGGCAAAGGCCAACGCGTCTGTCACTGACACTTGTTCAGACACTAGTTGTCCCAGAGCTGATCATCCTCAGGCCCCAGAGACTCCCTGCCCCTGCTTCAAACCCAAACGCTGTGCGGAGCATATACACACTCTCTCTTTGAGATGAGTACATGCTTCCTCTTATTTCTATTACTTTAAAAGTTAAGCATTTTATTGACATATAATTCACAACCATACAAGTCAATGGTCTGACTATATTACAGAGTTGTACAATAACCACCACAATCAATTTTAGAACGTTTTCAATCAAACTGATCTAGCTACTGTCTCTATAGATTTCGCTAACTTGGATTTTACATTAAAAACAAAAAAACACAACAACCAAAACACCCACAAACAACTTCAATCCAAAAGAAAGCAGAAAATAAAAACATGAACAAATTTAAAGTGGGTCAAAAGGGAAAACAAATGCTAAGGTGCTAAATTTTAGCCTAACAATATTAATCCACTTTCCAGGGCTGCCTAAGGATAGGCTATTATTCACACACAAGGGGTTCACTGGAGGCCTAATTCACATAAGGACCCTGCAAATGGGCTTCCACTGTTCCCCAAAGCCCTCTGCCAACTGGTTAAGCGCACTCTCAAACCACACACCCTTGGAAAGCTCTCTGGGAATGTGAATCCTGCAGAGCTCGGCATGTGGACGGGGTTCCCGGGTGGTGCTGACAGTTAAGCGCTACACTACTAAACGGAATGCTAGCAGTCCAAGCCCACCCAAAGGGATCTTGGTCACCTGCTTCTGAAAGGCAACAGCCCAAGAAGCCCAACAGAAAGTTCTGCTCTGTACACCCCATCGCCAGGAGTCTGCATCCCACTCCGCGGCAACCACCACCAATTTGGCATCAAGTGTCTCCTTCCTCCATCGAGGAGCCGGAGGTAGCAGGGACCGAGGGGGCTCTCATCAAGACAGGCTCTGCTGTCCATCAGCTTCCCTCAGCCTCAAGCCCTAGTGTGCTTGCAGGTGCAGCCTCGAGCAGCCAGCCCTATCCTCTCCTGACACATGCTTGTGACTCTGAAGCTCCCAGTCTCAGGGGCAGCCCAACAGCCCAGAAGCTACAATCCTCCTCTGCCAAGCCACAAACACGCCCCTCCTGGCTCTTTCCTTACCTCGGCCCCCTCATCTACTGTCCTCCCCTCAAATCAAGGCTGTTCACCATCCCTGGGCTAGTAAGCCCGGGCTCAGAAGCCCTCCTCCTGTGCCTCTGGACTTGAGCTGGCTTTGCCCTAACCCAGCACCCACCAAAGTAAGCTAGGCTCACTTTGTGGCTTTCTGTGGCTCGGCCTCATTGCCCGAGGGGAAAACAGAACACCAGCCCTACCACACCTTTTCTGTGAAACTACGCAGACGCTATAACCGGATTAGGGACAAGAACCGAGGATGGCGCCTGGCTGCTTTACCTGAGGGCAGACTCCCTGAAAGGACCTGAGTCAAACTCACCATTCCCAGATCTCCGTCAGCAACAGCTCTTAAAAGTTTTTCTACCTTAATAAAAAGAAGAAGGAGGTTAGAATGACAGAGCATCATAATAGAAGGCATTAAAATGGTGCTCTCAAACCCTCGTCACTTGTCCGTTTGTCTCCTGCTTTGTGGCTTGTTCACGTGTCACTTAGCAGCTCCCAGCACAGCCCTCAGACTGCTGAGACAGGGCACCTTGGAAGTCGCTAGCGTGTATTTAATGTATATAAATGTAACCTCCGTTTATGTAAAAACAATGTTGGTCACGATTTCAAGAGGTAGCACCGGATCAAGAATCAACGGTATTAAAGGAAGAAGTCCGGTTGCACTAAAAGCACAAAACAAGGTACAGATCCTGAGTCAGCTTCTATACCACAGCGAGAGGAGGGCCAGGTAACCGGGGTGGCGGGACCCCTCGTAGTTAGGAGAGGCAGATCTGAGCGGTGGACGGGGAGGGACAGAGTTCCCTACTTGGTGACCCAGAGGTGGCTGTACTTGCATCGTATTTCCTGTGCTGTTTTTTCTCTGTCTCTCTCTCTCTCTCTCTCTCTCTCTCGCTCTCTCGCTCAGGGAGCAGGCCACAGACGACCAGCAGGGTGAGAACTGTGCAGACTCACGGACTCGCCGCCACCGCACAGGTGTGTGGCCTTGGCAGAAAGTGGGAGCTGCCGTGCTGTGGGGCAACACTGGCCCTCATGTCACCAGGTCCTCACCTCTCGGTAGTCCCTCCGGGTCTCCTCGTGCCGAGAGCTCACCGACACGGAGGAGAAGCTGGAGGTGGAGGACCTCGGGCTGATGGAATCCACAGAGCGCTGAGGGGACGGAGCAGGGACCTGCAGAAAAGACGTGGGCACGTGGGCCAGAAAGGAGGTGTCTGGCCTCAAACATGAGGCGTCGCCAAAATGTCCATGCAAAATTCCACTATCCTTTTTTTTAATGTAACAAAAAGTTTGTCTGGGTTCATTGAACTACCAGACACTTTCAATGAATATTAATGAAAGGATATGAGACTAAAAGAGATACTACGCTATAATACCAACAGACTGAAATTCAGAAAGATAAATTTTAACAAAAATTATTAAAATTGATGCAAACATAATTTTTACACATTCCAAATTTTTAAGGGATAGAAATTGCTTTGGCATTCAAGGTCGACAAATTATTTGTCTTAACGACGGCTCAGCCACAGCTGTGCCATGACTAACTTTCACTAAGTATTGAAAAATCTCTGTGGGGCATCTTTTAAGTCCGTTCTCCCACAAACTGAAGCCCTCTCATAAAACCAACGATCCCCGCTCCACTCCTCTACCTCGGACGACCTCCGCCTGCTCCTCAGGGTCGGATGACCAGCTTCCATGACAGACAGGATCTGGGGACACAAAGGACAAGGAAATGAACAACTCAACAGCCCTGGGATACGTGGAGAAAACAAGGCCCACGGCCGGTGGGGCCTCAGGAAACCAAGTGTGGGTCCTCCTATTACCTCACATCCCAGAACAGGGTTCATGCTGTCCATGGCCGGCCCACAGGGTAAGAGAAGCCAAGGCCCAGAAAGGACCCAGGCACCCTCTTCCCGCCCAAGGCCGGTTGGCACAAGCTAAAGGCTTCCCGTGGAAAGGTCTCGAGCAAAAGCAGCTGGGGCTGAGCCACCATGGCAGCCTCCTTCCCTGGGCAGAACTGCTCGGGAGGAGCCAGCAGCAGGCGTACAGCAGCAAAGGAGCCCTTCCCTGGGGCAAGCCCAGCCTCCCAGGCCCCCAAGCAGCACTGTTCCGCTTCGGGCAGCTGTGGGCAACACCGCTGATCCCTAGCCCTGCAGCCAGGCACAGGGATTTAGATCATTCACAATCGTGCCACCCCCGGAAGACACAAGCTAATGGAAAACACTGCCTGGTGCGAGGCAGCAGGATGTTGCAAAAGGGAGCAGTCAATTGGAGGCAGCAGGCTGTGCCAATGGCAATGCCGGCCGGCAGAGCGCACTAGAACGGAATCCATGCGTGTGCCTCACCACCAATGTTCTGGAGGCTTCTGTCTGATGGCCACGCTTCATAGTGGCCCTGCTCCCACCCCCACCCCCACAATGGTCTGCCTAGGAGCCTCCTTAGGGTGCCTCGTCACCCACTCGCAGTAAGTCGCCCCCTTCCCCTAGGAGGGAAGCACATTGCACACATGACTATCAGGAGAGGCTGAGTGCAAGCATTTAACAAATCACACTGTCAAAGACACTGTGCTCAGTGGTGTTCAACCGGCCAGATTAGGCAAGGTCCAGGGGGCTGGGGGGGATGCCACAGGGACTGGGTGGGAGAGGGCCTCGGCCCTTCCTGAGCAGCCTCTCTCCCTCCAAGCCCTTGTCCCAGCTCCCCCCGCTCCATGGGCTGACACAGCAGAGGCCCTCAAGAGGCCAGGGCCCTCTCGGCAGAGAGCAACCCCTGCAACCACGAGGACAGGAAACAGAAGAAACATGAATTAGTAAAAGCCATTAACAATGAGGCCCTAAATCCAGCAGAGGGTGCAGGCCCTGCCCTGTGCTCGGCACTAATGCACCGTTGATCCAACAAGGCCAAGACCTAATCTATAGGCATTGATCTTTTTTCTTCCTGCCCACCCCCTCCCTTAAAATCACATGCTGGCGGGCAGTGCTACCTTGGAGTTTAACGCACACGTGAGCGGGGTCTCTTTCAGTTTGTTTTGGGTCTCTGTGGATGCTCCGTTCTGCAGCAGGGTCTCTATGATGCCCTGGTAGCCCCACCGTGCGGCTACGTGAAGTGGGGTGTCTCCTTTCTCGTTCCTGATGTCCAGTCTGCAGGCTTGCACATCGTAGTAGACCAACGCCTTCACACACTGCAGAGAAATTGGAAAATGCCACCAGTGAGAAGCCGGCCCAGCCCTGGGGCAATGTGAGCTCACCACTGCCTCCAGCCATGTCACAATTCCACTGAGGCTCCTTCCATCACACCAAAGTGCAGGCCCAGAGAGCTGGGGCTGGCACAGCACTTCTTCAAAAGAGCTCAACTGCCAACCAGTAAGAAGTGGCTGGTGGCAGAGTTACCAATGGCCTGGTCTGGCCCGGGGTGGCATCTGAGACCCTGAAATCGGGACATTCCCTGACTGGAAAGGGCAGCTCGGTGCACCTGAACTGGGTGGATAGCACGTGGTCCATGCTTTCCCTCTGAGCGTTTCTGGGTGCTTTGGTGACTGCTAGGTTGAGGGTGCCTATGTGACCAATTCCAATAAAAACCATGGGCACCAAGTCCTCGACAGCTATCTATGGCAGGCGGCCTTCCAGCTCACGGCCAGCATAACCGAGCGTGCGCTGTGCAGCTCCCTGCGAGGGTTTGGGGAGGGCTCGCCACCTGCTTCTTTCCTACTCCGCCTCGAGTGCCAGGCACTGTGGCGAGCCGGGCCCCGAGCACCCCACCAGGCTTAGCCGTGTGAGGGGCCGGCACCGCCCACAGGACGCATGACAGAGTGGCCGGTGGAGAACGGGGTAGGTCTCCATGTACTGACCAGAGGCTATCCCCGAACAGCCTTTTTTTAGTATCATCCACCTACCCCGTCTTTACCAGCACATGTATCCACCTGTCTATGACTCATCTGAGAGCAGGGAGGGGCCAAAAGACAAAGTGAGTAACGCAGATGGCCAGATAGGAAGTGAAGTCACAAATGACAAAATTCCTGGACATTGCTATGCAACGTGCATGAACAGAGGTGAGAGCCAGATGGCAGCAGCGGTGTAGGACAATGATCGCATTTCAGGGTGAGCTCATGGGCTTAAATAAGTTTGGGGTGTCTGTCATTTCAATAGGTTTTCTGTAAAATGTTTTCAATTAAAAACAAATGACCGTCACCTGGTATGTCCCAGTACGTGGTAATCCCCAATACCACCTGAAACTAATTACAAACCACCTCGCCCCCAAGAGGTCAAAGGTAAAGCCCACCACCCTCCAACAGCAAGGAGCACTCACGTCCTCGTGGCCGTAGGTGCAGGCCAGGTGCAGAGCAGTGTTGCCGCTGTTGTCCTGCAGGTCGGCACTGGCTTTGTAGTGCAACAGCAGCAGCTGCCAGAGGAGGGGCAGGCAGGTGAACCCCAACAGGCCGGCAGCCAGGCCCGGGCTTCCTCAGGGACCGTGGCCCTGAGTCTTATCAGGGTGAGGCCTTCCGTCTCCATTTAAAATCTCACTTTGCTGATATTACTACTAATAAAGCTTTCATCTTTCCTCACAAGAAATGCAGAGGCTACTGAAGAAGTCTTTAGCGCCCCCTTTCTTCTCTGAGCAATCTAGAAGTTTCCAGGTGACTCTGCCCAGGGAATCCATGGGGTGTGCCTTGCCCCCACCCCCACCCCACCCTGGCAGCCAGCAGTATGCAGCTGCAGCCCAGCCAGTGGTGTAAAGGAGCCAAGCACAACACAACCCGCCAAGCTCCAAGACAGAGAGGGGGCTATGCCATCTACAGTAAGGTGAGCAGATTTTACCATTGGTAAAGCGGGACAAAAGCGGGACACCATTGATAAAACTCATATTCTGGCGAAATAGCCGCATGGCAGCCGAAAACTGTCTACCCTAGAAAAACGCTGCGGGACGCAGGAAAGATTGTTCAAAATCAGGACTGTCCTGCCAAAAGCGGGACGTCTGGTCACCTTAATCTACAGGGCTCCCCTGCCATGGTGGCCCCTGCTGCTCACCGTCACGCTCTGGTAGCCCTTCTGGCACGCCAAGTGCAGTGGGGTAGACCCGTGGTAGTCCGTGGCGTTTACCACAGCACCACTGGAAACCAGGAGGTCAATGAGGGATGCCTGCCCTGCAGAAGAGAACTTCACAATGAGAAAACAAGAGAAGCAGCTCTCTGGACCGGAACCATATGCTCACGTCAGTCCTCCTCCCTGGGTCCCACACCAAGAGGGTGGCTGAGACAGTACGCTGAGCTCCTGCGGAGGAGGCCCCGCTCAAGCCCACGTCGCAGCAGCACAAGTCCACGGCTCAGCGAGTCATCAGATGGAATATTGCTCAGTCACTCAACATGCACGTGATGAGGAGAAATATAGCTCTAGGTTACTAAGTATGGCTTTTCACGCGAGAGCCTTAGCTATGATCACAGTATGGTACTCACACAGGAACAGAGAAGGAGACTAGCAGATGAGAATAATGAGCTCAAGCAGGCCCTGCTCAGGGAGCTATATGTGAAAGAGCTGCTTGTGCAAAAGAATGAGGGTGAGTCTGGGACACCTTGTCATTCACATGGGAAAACGAATGGCAAACGTATCCTCATCCCACCCCTTACACAAAAATGAGGTATAGAAGAAATTTTTGCACAAGTGTATTTTCACACAAAGCAAGATGAAATAAAATTGCATTGTCCAACTATTGGTAAATTAGTAGAAGTACAAATGAATTCAGCATATTTTAAAAAAACAAACTCACTGCCATCGAGTCAATGCTGACTCGCAGTGAGTGACCCTATGGGACAGGCTCAACCTGCCCCTGTGGGGGGGTTTCTAAGACCGTCACTCTTTTTTCCAAGGAGAAATATTCTGTATTGCCATGTGCCACAAGCCTAGTACAGAACGGTCTGATCTCCGTGTCAGCAAATGCTGTGTGTGGACATAAACACAACTGTGCCGGAATTCTGAACAATCATCAAAATTCTCTCTGGGGAATAGGAGAATGGCATGTTTCTATCTTTAGTGTGCCCTTTACAAGACAGTAGAACACCCAGAACAGAATGAAGAATGTCCACGCATTGCCAACACTGTGGCCAATGACGCGGAACAAGGTGTGTGGAGACAGTAGGACCTTCACTGAAAACAATGAAACAGTCACTTTTTACAAGCAGGGCTTACAAGAACCCCCGGCTGCGCAGTCTGAGTCCTTCTCATGCCTCGGATCCCAGCCTTGCTGGCCCAGCATGTCGCCGGGGCAGTGTGAGGCTGCCTCCACCGTGGGAGCACGTGCGCTTGCTCTTCCAGCCAGCGGGGGGCACCTGGGCCACAAAGGCCCACAACAGGTTTGTATCGCTCCCCTTTCCAGTGTGCCCAGAACAGGGACCTAAGTCTGTCGGACCTCTGTGGGGTCCCCCTCAATACCATCCCTACACCCCATCAAGAGCACATACCACAGAGAGCAGCCACGTGGAGTGGTGTTTGTCCCCTGTCGTCTCTGGAGAACGGAGTGACAACAGAAGGATCATTCCGCCTCCTAAAACAGCGAACAGGCAGAACAAACACCATGGGTGGCACGGCGAAACCTCCCCGGCCAGGCTGGGCATGGCCGGCCCCTCTACAGAAGACCGCGTTTGGAACGGCTCCTCGAGAGAGAGGCTTGCCTTCACCGAGGTAAAGCAGAGACGACACTGCCGTCTCGGTGCGACAGCACAGGAGGCTGAGGGGCGGTAAGGATGCCCTCCTCCCTCACCATCACACGGCAGGGCAGTGGACACCGGCCCGGGCCATGTCTCCTGGTCCCTGGCAGCCACGGGGCTCTTACCCAGCAACGAGTCTCTCACAGTCGTCACAGAAGCACAGAGGGTGGCACAGCTTTTGGACGGCGTCTTGATCATGGTCCTCTTGGCTCAGAAGTCTCTCGACTTCTTTCTGGTTCCCTGACGCAATGTGCTAGAAGGCATCGAAACTATTATCAATACCAAGGCATTACTCATTCTTCTGAGCGTTCTTCCCCAAAACACATAGCCAACAAGCTTGTCCATGAACTTGATTTGCTCTCTGGGATTTCCTTCTGAGACTGTAACTGTTCACAGGAGTAGAAAGCCCTGTCCTTCTCCTGCAGAGCAGCTGGTGGTTTCAAACCGCCGACCTTGTGGATCCCAGCCCAATGCGTAACCATCACACCGCCAGGGCTCCTTCCATCATGATACTCCTCTTTTATTCAAGTGAGGAGCCCTGTGGTGTAGTGGATTACACACTGGGCTGCTAGCCACAAGGCCAGCAGTTCAAAGTCACCAGCTACTCCATGAGGGAAAGGTAAGGCGTTCCACTCCTGTCAAGACTTACAGCCTCGGGTGAAGGGAGACGTGGGACAGTGTAAGATATGACAAAATAATAATTTATAAATTATCAAGGGTTCATGAGGGAGGGGAGTTGGGGAGGGAGGGGGAAAAAAGGAAGAGCTGATGCCAGGGACTTAAGTGGAGAGCAAATGTTTTAAGAATGATGAGGGTAACGAGTTGTAGGAGCCCCCAATAAAATGACTTTTTTAAAAAGACTTACAGCCTCACAAGCCCTCAAGGGCAGTTCTGCTCTGTGAGGGTCACTATGAGTCAGCCTTGACTCCAGTTTCGTTTGGGCTGTTCATGTGAGTCAGAGAAAAACGAGGCTGTCTGCACCGGCAAAGATTTACACACTCAAAAGCCCTAAGAGCAGTTCTACTCCATCTGCAGTTAGAATCACTATGTGTTAGAACTGACTACATGCCAGAGGGCTTGAATTTTGGTATGCTTAAATTTTCCATAATTAAAAAAAAAAGCCCGATGTGAGAAAATACTTCACAGCACTAAGAGCAGAGGAATAGGATTCTGACACCTCACAGGGGGGTCACTGTTGGCCCTCTCCTTGTTTATTCTAACGTAGCCTCTGTCAGGGGTAAACGAGGAGACCTACTACAGAGGACCTCACCCCCAGGCAGTCCTGCAGGCCAGATGCCCAGCCCCCTGCTCTGGATGCACCCCACAGGAGTCATATTATCTCCCACGGGAGGTTCTCCTGGGAACCTCCTTTGGATCCAGGGAGCCAGGAAGCATCAGCAGTCTCCCAAGGTTGGCAGTCAGCTCACTATCTGTGCCCCCGGCTGTCCCTATGCCACATGACCCACCACTGAGGCCGGCGCTATGCCTGGGGAGTGCACACACAAACTTGAGATGTGGGGTTCCCGGGTGACAGGCAAGCATGGACTGCGCCCGGGCACAGCCTCTTCAGCTCCCCCAGTGGGCCATCCAGCCTAGCAACAGCACAGCACATGGTGGGCGTTGGCACATGGGAGATGGTGGCAACTTTACAACCTCTGAATTCCTGCCACCCACCTCTGAGTGCAAGATCAAGGTCACTGTACCCAAAGAGAGGCCCAAAGGTGGAGTGCTCCTCACACACTGCCCAGAGGAGGCCTGGCGTCTAACCTTGAACAAGCAGTCGATGGGAGTGGACGTCATCTGAGACAGCAAGTTCACCCTCTGTTTAAGGAACACTCTGTCACCAAAGCCCTCGGAGTCCTGCAGGGAGAGGGCAACGAAGAAACACGCCATCCATGGTCCAGGTGTCACCAGAAAGCAGAGGTCATCCAAGACAGAGGGCCCCGGGAACTCCCCTGGCCACTTCTCACAGGACTGGAGAAGGCAGCCCTCCCGGTAGGTGAGGGGAGCCTCCTCCGGCTGGGCTGGGAGGGGCTGTGCTGCTTGGCACGCTTGTATGTGTGGAATGGGGCACTTCAGTGTGGCATGTGGCATGTACACAGCATCACCTTCCAAAGGGGAATGTGGACATCTTCCCAACTGTCCTGCAGCGCCCACCCCCCACCCCCTCTCAAATATTCAGCCTGCCTACTTTACCTGGAGCCTACAGTCAAGCCATCTCACGAGCTGGCTTGGCTCCATTTCCTGCAGTCCACCAGCAGGAGAGAGAGGGCCTTTACCTTTCGACACACTTACTAAAATAATGGACAACATGAGCTCTGGCCCAAAGTCCATTAAGACACTAGGAGAATTCCTGACACAAGAATTAGCAGACCTCTTCTGCAATTTCTAGGATCCTCCCCACTAATCCCACCCCCCACAATTAATAAACCCATGTCTTCATATGAGCGGTGACGTTTACCTAGATACAAAAAAATCGAGAGCCACATTCTCTGTGAGATGATTTCTAGCAGGATGCGTCACTTTTTACTGGAGCACCTTCGTCTACTGTGCCCAATACCAAATTCGCTTCCTGCGCTAGATCTGTTCTCCGCCCTGCCCCGCAGCCAGCTGCTGCCAGAAGTCAGCAAACCCTGTCAACTCAGAGAGAGAGCTCTCTCCTTACATTCAGAGAGAGAGGGAGCCTGCGGTGGAGGCAAAGTCCTGCACACACTGCCCCTGCCCTCCCCGAGGACAGGACGGTTCACGCAGGAAGTGAACACCTGAACACCGCGTCAGTCATTCTGCCTGCAGGCTGCTCTGTGTGCTCCGCACGCTGCCTTACAGGGTGATTTACAGCGGCTTTGGGTAACAACTAACAGCAGTTAGATTCAGCCCCTTCACTCTAGATAAGCTGACGTGGAGCGAGGAGAGGCTGCAGCTTCAGGGAAGGACCCGAGCCCAAGAGTGGGCCTGTGGTCAGCAGCACTATTTGGGAAAGGGCTCGATCCTACTTTTCAGAGACGAAGGAGTGTGGGAAACCCAGGAAAGTGAGGAAGACCGCCCGCTCTGCCCCCCGTGAGACGGGCTGACAGTGGCTGTGACAGTGGGCTCACACACAGCCCACCACGGGAGGATGAGGGGCCACAAACAGGCAAACCGATCAGGAGCCAAGAGGATGACCAGTCCTCGGTCCCTCCCCCAACACCCACCCACCCCCACTGGCCCTTCCGTTCTTTTCTCAGTGAAACCAGTCATCCCAGGAATGCTGCTTTTCCCAAGGCGAGGCCCTTCAAGGATAAGCCAGCGGTGATTTTATCTCAGGCATGAGGTTCCTGCAAAAGAGCCAAGCCCGTGGGAGCCAGAGCGGCTGGGAAGGAGGTGGACGTTCCACAGGGAGAACGCCAGAGAAGCCGTGCGACCCAGGACCTGCACCAGGCCAGGGCGGGCCTCAACACTGTCGCTGTGTTGGGTTGAAGACCGGCTATTAAAACAATCGGATGTACTATGGCCAGTGGGTCCCATTTCCAGACACTTCCTTGGGCTCTCTCACTAACGAGGGGCACTGAACTCACTCGTGGGCGCTGAACTCATTCGTGGGCTGGCTGGGCCAGCACCCTCACGCTGATGCCTGGGCAAGGAGGCAGTGGGGAGCCACCCGGCAGGGCAGAGCAACTGCCAGGACTGGACATGGAGCCCCACAGGGCCGCTCACCCCTCCCCCCCTCCCCCGCCTCCTGTCTGCTGGGGACGACACAGGGAGCCAAGAATCCAGAGGCCTCATCAGAGGGGTATGTGGGGACACCTATCACTGCTCAGAGCCACCCACCGAGGGCAGAGATATGCTCACGGGCAGTGGGATGGTTCAGCCCCAATGTGGGCAAGAAATAAACAGATTCACCCAAAGGCCAACAGCAATACTGAACACACACCAAGAACCACACAAAAACTGCTCCCCCACTCCCCCCCTTACCCCCATTCCCCACCCCCCGCCCCCGCCCCGTCCCACTTGGAAATTCTGACGTATAAGTAGGTGTACAAAGCTCACTGGTACTTATTGTCCTCAGGTCTCAGTCTTCCAGCCTTCGTGCCTCAGAAAATGGAGGAGGAGGGCTTTGCTTGGGGGGCAGCAAGGAGAAGGGGGTCACGGGTCCAAGGGGCAATCAGAGACACCGGCCCCTAGAGGCCAGGCTCCTCTGCTGGGTGGTGGCGCCCAGAGGGCAGTGGCTTCTCCGAGCAGGAGAGAAGGGGAGGAGCAGGGGGTGGGGAGAGAAGGGGGCAGGGTGTCCTCCCAGGAACACAAACAGTAAACACCCCTGCTGACGCCACCAGCCCCACAAGCTCCAGGAACTCAGCAAGAGACAACTCACACCCGGAGGTCGCGTTCTCCAACAGCCGGAAGGCAGGCAACTGCGCATGTGCGCGTGCTCCAGAATCGCTCCAGAATCTCGGTTATTTCCCCAAGCGCAGAAACTAACTGAGGAAGGAGCTTTCCAGAAACACCATGGCTACTCACACCTGAGATGGGAGGGGCAGCGCTAGTCTGACCTGCACACCAGCAGGGGGCTGAATCAGACCCCAGGCAGGAACAGAAGTGAATTCTTCAAGAGCCAAGAAACATGGACTACACGTCCAGCAGGCAGGAAGGAGCGCAGATTTTGGTTAAAGATAAAATTATAGATACACGAGACATATAACAAAATGCTAACAAAAGCTACATTTTATTTATCAGCAAATATTATTAATAATCAATACTAGTCTTTTAATCAGAAAAAAATTAATAAAGCTTTTCTTTGGGGGGAACAGCATATAAAGCTATATAAATAATCTCAATTGTGGAAAACATACACCCACAGGAGTATGTAGTGCAATGGATTTAAGACATTTTTCTAATTCAAAGAGAAATACCTCTCTCCCAGATCAACCTTCCCAGCTAACCAGGACAACAATCATAGGCCTCTAAGTCCTAAAACTGCATCCACTAATGGACTCACAGACCCCTGGTGGCATAGTGGGTCTATGCATTGAGCTGCTAACCACAAGGTTCTAGGTTCGAACCCACCGGGTGGTCACTCCACTGGACATGAGGCTGTCTACTTTTGCAAGGATCAACACTCTCAGAAACCCGCAGGGGCAATTCAACTCTGTCCTACAGGGTCACCACAATGAGTAGGGATGGCCTCAAATGGCCTCAACAGCCCTGGGTTTGCAACGTCACGTTTCTTGGCTGCCTATCATCACCAAGAAACCCACAATCACCATTCTGGGGCTTCCTTCCCTAAGCAACTACCTTCTCCCCAAGTCCTTTCTGAGATGATGGGAGGTGAAGGGCCATGCATCCCAGTGACAACTCACCAAATTTTACAGCCCGCTGAGTGCTGGACGTTCACTGGGCTGAGGGCTGTCAAGAACCTGTGCCCCCAACCAGCCACGGCTGATTTCTTCAGAAATCACTCACCATGGCCCTGCCCCACCCACCAGCTCCAGGACCCCATCAGATCCCCCAGGTCCAGAGAGACAGACAGACAGAGACAAAGAGAGAGAGAGAGAGAGAGAGAGAGAGAGAGGGAGGGAGGGAGGGAGGGAGGGAGGAAGGGAGGGAGGGAGGGGCAGAGCAGGAGGAGGGCTTACTGGCGGTTTCCCAGAGAGGCTTCCTTGGCGGATGTACTCAATGGCGGCCTCCACGGAGGTCAGGCAGTACCCCAGCTCATCTTTTGCTGAGCTGCTGAACCGGAAGTTTTTGATGTAGCTCAGATTGGCCATCCTAGCAGAAAAAAGGGGAAAGCATTTTATCACTGTGTCCCACTGCTGCAAAAAATGCTATCGTCACAACCCATTTGCACCTGGGACAAGCTCCCAGGGCCGAGCTTGGCTCAGGACGGGGTGTGAGCCCTCTGGGTAGCCCTGCCTGTGTATTCCAAGTCAGCGTGTGTCTACAATTGAGTTGATTCTGACTGGTGGCACTGGGAGTTAGGCATTGGGCCACTTAATGACAAAGTTAACAGTTCAAACCTACTAGCCACTCCTCAAGAGGACCATGGGCTGCCCGTCCCCATAAAGCTTTAACACCTTGGAAACCCTATAACGGGTTGCTGGGTCAGAATCAACTCAATGGCAGGGAGTGTGTAGGATGGAGGGGTATGTGTGTGAGAGTGAGAAGTTATTTACCTAATCTAAAACGGAATCTCTTTCCCCTGGCACATCTATGAAGTAGGAAAAAGGAAGGGGGAGCTACAGCCAACCGACAGCCAAGAGCCACACAGTAGGTGCTGATCTCGACTCACCTTTCTCTCCACAACAACCCAGTCTTACAGTGTGAGTCTCCCCGGGCTCAGAGCGCTCGCCTGGGGTCCATAGCCGGTATGTGACCAAGCCTTATTTAATCAGCTAAGAGCTCCAGATGCTGCTACAGTTGGAGGGAGTGCCCATTACTTTCAAAAACGGATGCAGAAATGAGTAGATAAAGGGTCACCCTTGTACCTCATCAACATGTCAGGTGAAAAACCCCAGTTGCGCATAATTGCACGGTCCCCTCTAGACTGGGTCATTGGCACTGTCTTAGCAAGACGGGCACCGTGGTGTTGCTTCCTGCTGCTCACAGAAGGGTCCTTAACTTCAACAAGATCACTCAGAGGCGGGCTTTGCTGAAAGCTCATAAGATGCCACTTAATTACAGCTTCGCTTCATTTACGTAAGATGACTGCCAGAGGAAAACTAATTTAGTATTATCGGGCTCAAACAGTATGGAGCATTGTTATTAAATTATGAGCACAAAAAAAGTGATTTAAGAAGAAAACCAAAGCACTGTCATCAGCTGGCTTGATCGCTACTAGGGAGTGTGGGCCGTCAGGAAGTACAATGACTTGTTACTTTGCTGGAAGAGGCTAGTATTTAGGAAGCTGACCATTGTCAAGTGAGCTGTGAGGATCCTGTGGGAAGAGGATGGGCTTTGGGGCCAGTGACCAGCTGTGTAGGCGCTCTGGTGGTAGTGGTTATGCATCGTGCTGCTACCCAAAAGGTCAGCAGTTCAAAACCACAAGCGACTGCTTGGGAGAATGATGAAGTTTTCTACTCCTGTAAAGAGTTACAGTCTCCGTAGGGCTGGCCCCACCATGGGACACAGCATCCCCACTGAGTCATGGTCACCCGGGGGACAGCACTGGAAACACAATGTGGGAATAGTGCATGGTCTGGCCCCATCACGCTGGGGCGAGGCACTGAGGGCAGGCAGCAGAGCAGCAGGGGGAGCAGACTGATGAAACACCCGGGGAATACCAAAAATAGACTTGGGAGACAGAGTGAGGCACCCCATCAGACTCGACTGGAAAACACTCATAAAGGCCAACAAACAGACCTTGAACTATTTATAGGCTTTTCCATTTTTGTCAGTGGCTTTCTTTTTGTTATTGTTATTCTGTGTTTGTTTTGTGCTATTGTTATTGCTTTGTTGGTCTTGACTTCCTTTGTTGTTTTACTCAGCTTTGCCTGGCTTTTGCACTTATTAATGTCTCTGCATGCCTATCTAGATAAGATAGGCGGGATAAATAATTCGGAGATGAAAAGAACAGGACCAATGGTTCTGGGGGGATACAGGAGAAGGGAAGGTGAGAGAAAGTAGGGGGGGGGGGACCAACCAAGGGACAAGGGAACAACAAGTGAGCTAAAATCAATGTTAGGAAGGTCGTAGGATGCCTAGTGGGGCTCAATCAAGGGCAAGGTAGCAGCAAGGAGTTACTAAACCCAAATGAAGGCCGAACATGATGGTGGGACAAGAGGGAAGTAAAAGGAAATAGAGGAAAGAACCAAGAGGCAAAGGACATTTATAGAGGCCTAAATATAGGCATGTATATATATAAATATACATATAATGAATAGGGAATAGAACTATGTACTCATATCTATATGTTAAGAACTAAGTTTGCAGATGGACATTGGGCCTCAACTCAAGTACTCCCTTACCACAAGAACACCCTGTTGTAACAATCCTCATTCTGTGATGCTCACCTTCCCAACACAATCACTAAAGATAAAAATGGGTGCATAAGCAAATGTGGTGAAGAAAGCTGATGGTGCCTGGCTAGCAAAAGATATAGCGGCTGGGGTCTTAAAGGCTTGAAGATAAACAGGCAGCTATCTATCTGAGAAGCAACAAAGCCCACATGGAAGAAGCACACTAGCCTGTGTGATCATAAGGTGTCGATGGGATCAGGTATCAGGCATCTAAGACCCAGAATAAAACAATACCCAATGTGAATGAGGGGGCACATGGAGTGGAGACCCAAAGCCCATCTGTAGACAATTGAACATCTCCTCACAGAGGGGTCATAGTGAAGAGATGAGCCAGTCAGGGTGCAGTACAGCATGATGAAACACACAACTTTCCTCTAGCTCTTTGGTGCTTCCTTCACCCCACTATCATGACCTCAATTCTACCTTACAAATCAGATTATACCAGAGCATCCACACTGCTATAGATAAGAGCTCGCAACACAGGGAATCCAGGATAGATAAACCTCTCAGGGCCAGCAATGAGAGTAGAGATACCAGGAGAATTAGGGTAAGGTCGGGGGAGAAAGGTGGAATTGATCATAAGGATCAACCTAGAACTCCCTCCCAGGGTGACTAACAATTGAAAAGTGGGTGAGGGGTGATGGAGGATGATGTGAGATATGGAAATAATAATCTATAACTTATCAAGGGTTCATGGAGGAGGGCGAGTGGGGGAGGGAGTGAGGGGGGGATGGGGAGCTGATATCAGGGGCTCATGTGGGAAGAAAATGCTTTGAAAATGATGATGGCGGCATATGTGTAAATGGGCTCGATACATTGGAGGAATGTATGGATTGTGATGAGAGATTAAGAGTCCCCAATAAAAGTATTTCAGAAAGAAAAAGAGCTACAGCCTCTGAAGCCCACAGGGGCTGCTCTCCCCTATGCTACAGGGCTGCTGTGTACCAGCACTGACTCGGTGGCAGTGCGCAGTGAGATCTGTACCGTGCTCTGGAATGAGAAACGTGAGGGCTGTGAACCACCGTGGTTCCCATGTAGGAGGGCAGGCTCATGGGAGGAGCTCAACTAAAGGCAGCTCTTCCGGAGTTAACCCTGGGTCAAGTGTTGGGCTGCTAACCCGCTGCAAGGTTGGCAGTTCACAGCCCCCAGCTACTCCTGCTTCAGAGAAAGGGGAGTCTGCCTGCTCTGCTCCGTAAAGATTGACAATCTGGGGAAGCTTGTGGAGCTGTTCCATTCTGTCCCCTGGGGTCGGGTCGCTGCGACCAGAGTGGGCTCTCCCTACAGGGAGGCTGCAGACTGGCGCTGCCAAAAGCAAACATGTGTGACCAAGAACATTACCAGTTGGGGATCTCCGTTTTCACGAGCAAGTATAACAGGACTGAGAGCAGGTCATCAGCGCACACGGTCTCCAAGTTAACTGAAAGAGAGAGCAGGTGTTCAGAGGCTGTCAGACTCAATGGCCAACACACAGGCCAGATCTCCCCCCACCATCCAAGTCCGGGAACCACAGGGTGACAAGAGGACCTGTGGCTGCACATCGTGTGGCATGAGCATGTGTGTCTCCTGTCTGAGGCTGGATTCAAGGGGGTAAAGAACGCCTGGCATTTCCAGAACAAGTACAAAAGGTGGTACCTCTAAACAGGCCGCCCCATCCCACCTCACATACAGGGCAAGGGCCCCGGGCAGATGGAGGTAGGCACAAGGCAAGGCTGTGCCCAGAGCCTTCACCAGAAACTACCTCCTCCTCCCCGCTTCCTGAAGTCATTTCCACTCTCCACACCCACAGAGGCTGATACCCATGCCTGGTGTGACTGTTGTTTTCACAGTGGAATCCCATTTACATCACTCACACACCCAGTCAAGAATTCAAATGGTCAAAAGAATGACCCTAGATGTCTTTTCCCCAGAGACACTGCTGCAGATGCTTCCTGGGCACCCTCCCCAGTGTCGGCACGCACCCCGGGGTGAGTGCGCAAGTCATCCACCTCCCTCTGTGCTGGCGGGCAGGTGCCACAGACCCACTCTGCACTGCATTCAGTGGAACCTGCCCACAGGCTGGCCCTATCCACGCAATTGGGAAGCAATTTGGGAGAGGGGACAACCATGTGTACATGTCACGGGTCTGTCTCATAGGTCATTTTCTTACTCCAGTCACCCCGGGTGACAGCCTCGGAGACCCTACCCAGGTCTGCCATGAGGCAGAATGGACTCCAGGCCAGGGGGTTGAAACTCTTGCCCAACAGATGCAGACCCGCCCTCCCAGTCAGAGCCAGCCTGGTATGCCCATGCTTGGTGCCCTGGCTGAGCAGCCCCGTCTGCCTCACCCTTGCAGGCTGCAGCACTGGTCCTTGCAGTGGGCACTCGTACCCCTGCAGGCCCCATGTCACCCCTGCTCCAAGGCAGACTCGTAGTCAGTGTACCCCTCACCGCCCCCCGCTGAGTTACTCCCCATGGGCCCCCCCGCAGCACACACCTCTCTGGCTAGGAGACTGGGTGATCAGCTGCATGGCCTTCCGCACACACAGCAGCTTCTGCTGCGGGGAGGTGCACTTGTTCAGCTGGCCCAGTGCCCGCTTGGCCCGGGGTATGTTGAAGCTGGAAGAGAATTCATGGAAGGCCATGTGCTGGGCCCTTTGTCCTGGATCTGATAACATCATCTCCGGGGACACAGGGAGGAGAGACCAAGACCCAGAAATCACCTGACTGCAGCCTGGGACAAAACTCGGCAGGCTGAAGGCCCACTCGGGCTGTCAGGTGGCCCGGGTCCACCTGAAATGTGGGCAGAACTTTTTTTAAATCATTAGCCCCAGAGAAGGGGGGAAAAAAGTTCACACCCAAACCCTTAATTTTGTGGCTTCACGACACTTAAATCTTCTCAAAAGCTGGTACCATCGTGGCCAGGTCCCCATGACAGGCCGGTGAGAGAGGAGCTGTCTGTCTGTGCCGCCTGGCTGAGTGACATGCCCCCTGGAGACTGGCTGTACACAACCCACCCTCTAGCTCTATCCAGCAGGAGGGTGACAGCAACAAGCGAGTCACCTGCAATTTCAGCCTTTCATCTCCAGTAACCTCAGGAGCGCTGCTGAGGCGCTGGCTCACAAGTTGGCTTGCTAATCGCACGCTAATTCAAAGCTACCGGCTCTGTACTCCCGTAGAAAGTTACAGCTTCAGAAACTCCCAAGGGCAGTCCCACTCTGTCCCACAGGGCCACTCTGAGTCAGCATGAACTCGATGGCAGTGAGTTTGGTTTTGTTCAGTAATCACTGCACCTCCCACAGTCCTGAGAATCACCTCTCTGGCCCCTAGGCTGCTGGGAGCCTGACCAGAGAGGGAGGGGCAGCACAGCCCCCACTGGGCCCAGGTCCTCACCTGAACTCCGGCTTCACACCAATGTCCCTCTGCTGAAGATCCTGAAGGCTCCTTGTGATTTTGTTGAAGGCCGCGTCCTAACAACAGATTTTAACGAGGCTTCAAATGTCTCTGCAAGGCCCCGGATGAGGCTTGCATCCCAGGCACAGGGGACCTAGAGCCTACCTCACTTGCCTCCATGGTCCCCACGTACTTAAAGATCAGGTCATAGATGTTGTGATGGATGTACATCTGTGAAACCAATGAGCCCCCGTCAGGGTGAGTGTTGGGGAGCTGGGGGCTCCCTGCAACCACACCACCACCACGCCAGCCCCCTCGTTGTCACAGCCCCCTACCTCCACAGCTTGTTTCATCAGGCTCATCTGGGCCTCCTGCTTGGCAAGCAGTTTCTAGAACAAGAAAAGCAGTTCCAGAGCTCGGGCCAGCACGAGCGCAAAAGCTGTAAGGCTCACACATCAACGCCTGGCTGGGCTTACCAGGTGGGAGTCCCGCAGGAGCTGCTGGAGGCATTTGGTGTAGAGAGCGTTCACGGAGTCCTACAACACAGAGCAGAAAGAGACCCATCACCCTTGCAGCTGGGGCCCACATGGCTCCACCCACAGAGCACAGGCTACAAGTACTAATGCCAGCTTCTTTTTTAAAAAATGTGGCCATCACATAATTTCCTGTCAACTTGAGTGAAGGGGTGGGGTCTAGCCTGTCAATCAGGTCACAGCCAATGAGGCCTCTATGTGGGCATGGTCTTCTCATGAGGATTCGAGGAACTCCTGTCTTCCTCCCCGGAGGCGGGACACACACTCTCCCCTCTAGACATTCCTGCTGACAAACCACATGGAGCTACACTGATAGAACCGAGCCCTGGAGCTAGAGGAGCCACGTGGTGACCCACACCAGCGCTGAGATGCTACCACCGCCACTGGATCCACAAGACTCCCCACCCACTGGCCTGTGATCTTCCTGCATTTGGCGTCATTGCATGTGTTGCGTGAGTCTAAAGAAGAATTTATAGACTGGTATTGGACACGTGAGCTAATATCGGACTTAGGGACTTGATCTGGACTGGGCTGGGATGTTTTCTTGATATGCAGTTACTCGTTGATTTCCAAGTTCTCTACAGTGGCTTCAGTGACGTTTCTAATTAGGCTTGCCCCGCGTTCCCAACAGGGAATGCAGCAGCCCAGTTTCAGAGCAAACCGAGCAGCCTGCTGGTGGCCCGAGTTGGCCAGCCAGAGGCCTGGGTGCCCGAGGCGTGAGCCGGCTACGCACTATGTGGTGGCGCAGGCTCTTCCTTTCACACTCTCGGAACGTTCGGTGGAAGGAGGCGATGTTCCGGTCGAAACGCTCCGAATGTCTTCCCAAAAAGTCTCTCACATCTTCGATGGTTTTCAGGGAAAAGGGATCGAGGGGTGTTAAAGGTTCATCTGAAAAAGAGAGACAGAGGGTCAGGCTGGATGAAGACACCACTGCTTTCTGATGAAAAGAAAAAAGGCGTCGCACTCTTTGCCACAATCTACCAAGACCAGATGCTCTCGGTGCCCCTCACTGCCATCGAGTCAAGTCCGACTCCCCGTGGACCTGTAGGACAGGGGAGAACTGCCCTTGTGGGGCTCTGGCCCTGTAACTCTTCAGTGGAGTAGAAAGTCTCATCTTTCTCCCACGGAGCATCTGGTAGTTTCGCACTGCTGACCTTGCGGTGAGCAGCCCAACGCAAAATCACTGTGCCACCAAGGCTCCTTTCCAGGTTCCAGAGACCTTGTTTCCAAGATCCTGCCCGAGTGCAGCCTGGTTACGGGCCAGGGTGGGGTCTGGAGAGCATGGTCCCCTGGAGGCCCTTTCCTGAGCCATGAGCATGACCTGCGAGGCTCAGGTACAGCAGTCCCAATTCCTGGCAACAGGCCTCGCCAAGAGTCTCTGGTTGCACTGGACACATCAAATGTTACCTCAACGTCATGGGCTGGCGGAGAGCAGTTATTCACTCCGAACGATGGGCTCTTAAATAGGCCTACAATGAGGCTGGCAGAACAAGCCCTCAGGCCAGGGACACAGCCACCTGTAGCTCCAGGGGTGGCATCAAGGTCAGAAAGAAGTCCGGGAAGCGCTGCCCCTGCAACTGTGCAGCACCCAACGTGTGCAACTGCCCACGGCAGCCCAAGCTACACCTCTCAGCCCAACGAGACAACAAGACTTCGTATTGATAAGGGCTAGAGAAAACAATCAGAGACAGTGACACAGATTTTTAACGGGTTCTTGAATATTTTATGGTGAGTTTGTAATGAATTCTACAGGTATATTTCTCTAAGCCAGGGATCCTCCCGCCCCTGGCTGCCCCCTGCATACCTGAACTCTCTCTCTTTTCCAAAGGATGGGCTATGCACAGTATACTGAAACTCTCCTCTTTTTCATTGTAGAAGGTTTCTTCAAAGAGAATTGGCACTGAGAGAAGACAGGTGAAGCCAGCTCCGAGTTTAATCCTGTTGCCCTGGATGGCGACATCCTGGAACGAGAGAGCCACCACTGTGCCACCAGCCCCTCCTAGCCCACCGCTGCCACGGCACTCAGCCAAAACCTGGCCCACCTCCACTCCACTCAGGTTTGCTGTGCACATTTTGGCCACCTTTGTTTTCTCTCTCATCTCTTCTGTGTTGGGGCACAGAACGCTTCTTTCCTATGTTGGCCCTCTAGCTACTACACAGTGCCCTGATCCCTTCTACACAGTACAGCAGAAAAAGCACACAACGGCACCTCGGAGTAAAAGACATCCTGTTCCTTTGGGAACAAAATCAAAAGGGGAGACCTTCTCTGATCTGGATAGGACCTAAAGAAACTGTGTTCCCAATTGGGTGGAGCTGAAGGCTGTGCCCTCCGGTCCTCTCCCTGGCTGGTCAAGTCACAGCCACTACGGCTCGTGCTGGCCTCAGAGGGTGCCTGAGGCAGCCCAGCCATGATGAGCCACATCCCTCTGATCTCACTGTACATCTAGATCCCCGAAAGAGAGCCGAGAGTCTAACAAGTGGTGGCGACGCTGGTGAGCAGATCTGTGGGAGGGCAAAGGGTTGCTGGGCCTGACCCCATGCTTCGGAGCCCTGGCTCCAGGCCCTTTCCCTCCCCTCCTTGGGGCCCAAGAACCTCAGCGACTGAGTCCGAGGCCAGAGGCCAACCCCTGCATCCGTGAGGACCTCGCCACCCTGACTGGAAATAAGGAGGGGGACAGAGTCAGCACTGACTGGATTGGAGTTGCCCTTCCCTCCGAACCCACCCGCCCCCCATGTTCACGGGTTAAAAAAGCACATTCCCTAAAGCTACTGAAGGTGTGCTCCTCCTGAGAGAGAGCAAATGCCCCTGTGTGGCATTCCCACCCCACAGGCCTAATGGCAGCCTAGTCACAGGTCCGCACCAAGGTCAGTCCGCAGAACCAAGCCACGTCACGGAGACGCACACACTGAGGGGCCGCACTAGACGTGCGCGAACTAAGAAACAGAGTAACAACACAATGCGTGGCATGGCATGATCCTGGGCTGAAACATAACAACTGGCCATAAAATGAAGCACAATGTGTATGTACAAATTGTATGGCGAACATACACTTTGCTTCTACACTGTGGTAATATAAGTGAATGTTTGTTCTTAGGAAATGCATACTGAGTCATTTAGAGGTAAAGAGACGTGATGTCTACAACTTAACTCTCTGACGATTTAGGCCAAAATAGTATGTCTAGAGATGAGAGAGAACACAAAGGTGGCAACAATATGGACAGCTGTCCAGTCTCGGGGAAGGGCCCACAGTGTCCTCTGTCCTTCACGGTGACATTCCGTGGGCTTGAGATGATGGCAAAAACAGAACGTCTTACAAACTAAAATCCACCCCTGAGGTCCAATTCGTGACCAAGAAGCCACTCAGCTGTCCGAGGCATGGGCTGACAGCTGACCGGGACAGGGGCCTTGGTGAGGAGAGAGCATTCCAGGGGTTCCCAGGCAGACGCAGGGGAGGGCAGGGCCGTCCCCTTCCCCACTTTCCGCCCAGGCTCTGAAGCAAAGGCAGGCATCCCTGCGGCCCCGTCCAGGCGCTGGGTGCGCACCAAAGAGGGAAGCTCTTCTTCCCTCCCTCCGTCCTGATGGACACGGAGGAAATGGTTACCTTTCCGTCTAAGGTCTGATAACGTTCTTCCACTGGGATCAAAACGTAGGACTCAAACTGACAAGTCGACTGGACACTGCTCGACAGGCTTCCTTTGCAAGGGACTAAGACCTGGAAGAGAAGAATCGGGACGAACACCAGACGTCTCGTTGATGACTTCAGCGAGCAGAATGTAGCCAAAGGCACTCCACTGAAATTGTTTGGGGGACCTACTGGCAGAGAGAATTCCTGGGGTCACTGGCCTGCCAGCTGTTGTGATGAGGCAGATGCCCTGCCCCCCAGGGCAGAGGGGCATGGCTCTTCAGACATGGGAGTAGAAGGCTGAGTCCCACCCTCACTGGCCCCTCTCCATAGGTAACCCCACGAGTGCCCTTTATTCTCAACTGCCCCGTTACAAGCATCACCAGGCTCAGAAATGACTCCCAAGAGGAGTCCAGGAAAGTGAGGCTAAAAAGTCTCATAAAAGTTCATCACCCAAAAGATCCACATTTGACCCTGAAGACTGTTCCTTTCTGATCAGATTTTCTATTTAAACCTAGTTTTAAAATAAAAAACAATAACCACTAAACAAACAAACACGGACGTGCTTGAAGAAAGCTTGTGAAAAACGAATTAAAGGTAATGGAGTGGACTCCTCTTGCAGCCCCAGCTCCAAAGGCCAGTGTCTCCTGCCTTCTCCGACTCAATCTCGCCATGGCTTCCTACAGCTATCGCAGTCTTCGTCCACCTCGTCCTTCGGGGGCATGGCGAGATTGAGTTGGCGGCTCCTTCCGCGCACCCAGCATCCATGGGGCTCTGGTGGCCTCGGCGTGTCCGTGCCGTCCGCTCGCTTCATGTCCTCGTCCTCCTCCGGGGACTATGGCGGCGGCTATGCAGGCGTCCTGTCCACGTCCGACGGTCTCCTCTCCGGGAACAAGAAGATCGCCATGCAGAACCTCAACGACCACCTAGCCTCCTACCCGGACAAGATGCGCACCCTGGAGACAGCCAACACGGAGCTGGAGGTGAAGATCCGCAACTGGTACCAGAAGCAGGGCCCGGGGCCCGCCCGCGACTACAGCCACTACTACGAGACCATCGAGGACCTGCGGGACCAGATTCTCAGTGCCACCATCCAGAACTCCAAGGTCGTGCTGCAGATCAACAACGCCTGCCCGGCGGCGGATGACTTCCGCACCAAGTTCGAGATGGAGCTGAACCTGCATGTGAGTGTGGAGGCGGATATCAATGGGCTGCGCCTGGTGCTGAACCAGCTGACGCTGGCCCGCGCCAACCTGGAGATGCAGATCGAAGGGCTGAAGGAGGAGCTGGCCTTCCTGAAGAAGAACCACGAGGCGGAAATCAGCAGCCTGAAGGCCCAGGTGCAGGGCCAGGTCAGTGTGGAGGGGGATTCTGCACCAGGCATCGACCTGGCCAAGATCCTGAACGGCATGAGGAGCCAGTATGAGATCATGGCCGAGAAGAACTGGAAGGATGCCTAAGCGTGGTTCATTAGCCGGACTGAGAACCTGAAATTGGAGGTCGCTGGCCACACAGAGAAGCTCCAGGTCAGCAAGACAGATGTAACTGACCTGCGGTGGACGCTCCAGAGCCTGGAGATTGAGCTGCAGTCACAGCTGAGCATGAAAGCCGCCCTGGAAGGCACCCTGGCGGAGACGGTGGCGCACTTTGGAGTCCATTTGGTGCAGATCCAAGTGATGGTAATAGCATGGAGGCCCAGCTGCGCGAAGCGCACTCTGACGTGGAGGGCGGAACCAGGAATACCAGAAGCTTTGGGGCATCAAGTCGCGGCTGGAACAGGCGCTCACCACCTATCGCAGCCTGCTCGAGGGCCAGGATGCTCACTACAAAGACCTGCCCACCACCACGGCCCTCTGAGTCCTGGGCTTCCTGCCCTCCTGCAGAAGCCCCGGTACCAAGGGGTGGAACCCTTAACCCCGTCTCTTCCCCAAGAACTTCCAATAAAACTTTACGGCATGAAAATAAAAAAGGTAATGGAGTCTTACCACGAATTTTTTGAAGCCGATTCATATCTACAGGTTTGACAGAGTATATGTGGTGCAATACATTTATGCTGCAGAGCATGTGGGCGAACAGAGTTATAAAAACTTGTTGTTGTTGTTGTTGTTGTCAGTTCCAACTCAGAGCAACCCTGTGTACAAGAGAACGAAACACGGCCTGGTCCTGCACCACCCGCACCATGTCCTTATGTCTGAGCCACTGTCGCAGCCCCTGGGCTGTGAAAATGCCTTAGCCGTGACCAACCATCTTGAGAGAGTGAGTTGCTGGGCCTGGGTGGCGTTCCGGACCAGAGTCTAGGGGTTCCACAGCCATCAATTGGCACAACATAATCCATTAAGAGAGTCCTGGTGGTGTACAGGGTGCTGGGCTGGACTGCTCGTTTCCAGATCGGTAGTGATCCAGGGGAAGACAGAGAGAGAGCAGGAAGGGGGTTGCGGGGGAGGCTTTCTGCTTCCGGAAAGACTTAAAGCCTCAGAAACGCACAGGGGCAGCTCTCCCCACGGAGTCAGAATTGGCTCAAAAGCAGTCAGTCTGGTCTTTTCGGTTTTTGTTTTGTTTTGTAGTCTACAAAGACGACGTCCTACATCCTGCTTTGGTGAGTCACAACTAGTCTTAAGAGCTTGTAAGCAGTCATTTAAGGCACTGGTCTCTCACCAATGGAGCAAAAAAGAGTGAAGAAAATAAAGGATGAATAGACCATGTGAGCCCCAATCTCTGCCACGCTGAGAGCAGAGCTAGATGGTGCCAGGCTGCTTGCTCCCTGCTCTGACGGGATCACAACAGCAAATTCTGGAGGTTTGTGGAATGGTATTCAAACTCATACGTGAGACCAGGCTGACTGGTCTGATGAGGACTGGTGGTGGCCCAGACACAATGGCCCTTAGACACCCTTCGATCTGGAACTGAACTCACCCCTGGGGCTCAATTTTGAGCCAAGAACAGCCTGGCCTATAAGGTGAACAAACAGTAACAGCAGGGAGACAGCACACACTTCAGAAGGTGCCAGATCCAAAGGGCAGCAGCCGCCCAGGGCGCACGCTCAGCGGGCCGTGCAGGGCACAGCGATAGGAGAGCAGGACCAGGGGGGCTGATAAACACAGGGTGGAAGCAGGGTAGGACGGCAATCAATGTCACAAAGCCAACGTGCATGAATTATTGAGGGCACAACCAATTTGCTCCGTAAACGTTCACTCAAATCTCAATAAAAAGGAAAGAAAACACAACGCATCAATATGCTGTCTACAAGAGACACACCTTAGACACAAAGGCAAAAATAAAGTGAAAAATCAAAGGACAGGGGAAATGTTGAGCAAAATGGCAGCGCAGGAGTGGGAATATTAATCTCTGATAAAATAGATTTTAAGGCAAAAACCAGCAAAAAGGACAAAACTTACTCAAAATCAAACCCACTGCCATCAAGTCATAGCAACCCCCTGTGGGGTTCGGAGACTGTAACTGTGGATGGGAACAGAAAGCCCAGTCTTTCTCCCTTGGAGCTGCTGACCAGGTGGACTGCAGCCCAACACGGAACCCCTCCACCAGCAGGGCTCCTGTTAGGACAGGGTAGAACTGCCCCTGTGGGTCTCCAGGACTGTCACTGTTTATGGGAGTAGAAAGCCCTGTTTCTTCCTGGGAGCAGCTGGTGATTTTCAACTGCTGACCCTGTGGTTAGCAGTCCGACACATAACCACTACACCACCAGGGCTCCTGTTACAGGAGACAAGGAGCCTCCTTATAATGATGAAAGGGTCAATCCAGCATGAGGACCTAATTATTAAAAAACAAGAAAAACTTAGTCATAATCACAGCTTTGTCTGGATGCTGATGCTGTTATGAATTGACTTAGTCACCACCACCACCCACCCCAAAACACAAACAAACAAATGAGTGTTGTACACCCTAACTTCTATGTCGGTGGTTATAATCCTCCTGGGGCACAGGTGGTCTGTGTTGCGTTAATGAAGCAGGATGTGGAGTCAATCTCTTTTGAAACAAAAGTGAGCTTCAAGGCAAGTTGGTAGGCAAAGACAGAGAAGAGAGACATCAGTCACAGCAAGAGACCTAAGAGCAGGTGCTCAAAAAGACAAGGATACAGAGGAAGCCTTCCCGACGGCCATGCCTTAGATTTGGACACCTAGCTTCCTAAACTGTGAGAAAATTAATCTGCTTGTTGTAGCCACCCCCTTGTGGTATTTCTGCTGTAGCAGCATTAGGCAACTAGAGCAAGTGCCATAAAGATCACAAAACAGTGTCTAGCACAGGCTGCCACCTACACCAGTCATGTCTCAGGGTGCCAGGCTCTCTCTAGGGGAGGTACACCATAAGATGTACCGAATTCTAAGCTGGCTCTGGGCACGACACTGACCAGGCATCAGTGACGCCAGCTTCCCACTACTATGTCACGGACAGAGCTCCACTCCCAGTGTTCTCTCTGCTCCGGCCCTGGCCACCAGGTGTGCATCTGTGTTTGCCTCCTTGTGCATCACCTTGGCTGGGCCACAATTCTGAATGGGTTACAGTTATGATGTAGACACCCCCCCCCATGATAAGATCTTGATTACTGTCACCTTGTTTACTGATCTTGGGAGCCATCAGCAGTCCGCCATCTTACCTCCTGACCTTAATACGTTTGTCAAATCTGTGATTCCATTCTTGGAAACATTTTTCAAACTCATCTGTTTGGATGGCTGACAGCACCTCCCTCGTTTTTTTCTTCACCCCTTCTACAGCATCAAAACGCTGTCCTCTCATGTCCCTCTGCATTCTCGGAAACAAAAAGAAGTCGCATGGGTCAGGTGAACAAGGTGCATAGGGCACGAGAGGCATGCTGCTTTGTGCCAAAAACCAGTGCATGGAGATGGCTGTGTGAGCAGGTGCACTGTCGTGCTGGCAAAACCAGTCTGCCACAAATCAAGCCTTTTTTGTTAGCACACTGTTACACTATCTCTTCAGAACCTCTAAAGAGAAAGCTTGATTTAACAGTCTGACCTGGTGGAATGAAATCCAAATGCACTATTCCCCTCACATAAAAAAACAAATGAGCATCATCTTGATCTTTGATTTCACTTGAGCTTTCCTTGGGCAAGGTGACAAAGGTGCCTTCTACTGGTTTGACTGATGTCTGCTTTCAGGGTCATAAGAACAGCACCATGTCTTGTCACCAGCAATGACCTTGGGGAAAAAGTCTGGGTTGCTTTGGAGCTGCTCTTTCAAAGCCCGGCATGTTTCCACTCGACGCTCTGTTTCCTGGTCCGTCAGAACCTGAGGCACGAAGTTCACAGTGACCCTTCTCGTTCCCAAATCTGCCATTTGCTGCACTGAGTTCCAAGATAGTCCAGATCACTTCCCCATCTCTCCAATAGTCTGTCGTCGGTCTTCAAACACAAGTGCACAAATTTTATCTACATTTTCATCCGTTCAGGAAATTGACTGACATCCAGAATGAGGTTTGTCATCAATCAACATTTCACCTTTTTCTGATATGAGAAACCACTCATACACTTGAGTTTTTCCCACAGCGCTGTCCTTGTAAGCTGTGTTCGACATCACAACAGTTGCTGTAGCATTTTTCTAAGGCAGGAAATGAAATTTCACAGCTGCATGCTATTTTCCTAAATTGGCCATCACAAAAAGCGAGTTTTGAGAGAAACCGCTTTTACAAAAAAACTCACTGTGACCAGAGAGAACCTACCCAGGCGATGCCTTGGGTGCACTAACCCTGAGTGAGTTGCTCGATGCTCGCCTGGTGGGGAAAATGTGCACTATGAAAGTTTTTTTCTGTTTTGATGGGGGGTTACCCCATAAAACATATATATGTATGTATATGCACCCCATATATATACATAACACACATATATGAGCTTCACTGGCCTTCACAGTCACTATTTAGGAGGAATCTCTCAGATTCAAGTGTACCTGAAAAGAAGAGGACCAGGCAGCGAAACCTTACAGAGCTCCATCCCATGGCAGCTCCACATAGAATTCAAGAGGCAGATCGCCCAGACACCGCTGCTGGTTTCACAGGGCCCGTCCATACCTCCTGTTCTGACACAGGCAAAGTGTGCGCAGTGAGAGTACCTGCTATACAGGACTTCTGGGATGAAGACGTGGGATCAGGACTGTGGCACAGCAACTGACTCTACATCGGGTGTAGGTCCCGTTACCATGAGAGAAGGCCCTTTCCCTACAGACCCCACTGAGCTCTGGGAGCATCCCATATTTCGCTTTGTGACACAGCACAGCCTGGAATTAATATGTATTTTCCCAAGGGTGTGGTCATCTCTCACACTACCACCTCAGCTTCAGCCTCTAACACAGTGTCCTGCACATTCAATAACTAGCTGTAAAACAGACAGATGGCAATGACTACCTTTGGTGAGCTTTAGATTATTAAATATTATTCTTTGGAAGCAACAAGGAGCTCTGTGAGTTATAAATCGGGCTACTTTAACCACAAGGTCAGTGTTTCAGACCCACCAGCTGCTCAAAGGGAGAATATAGGGCTATCTGCTTCCATAGGATTTACAGTTTCAGAAACTCCAAGAGACAAATCTACTCTGTCCTGTAAGATAATGATGACTCAATGGCAACTCAATGGCAGAACTGGCGGCAAATATTCACAGCACAGACGACCACATGCTTCTACCATGGAGCGGCTGGTGACTTTGAACCGCCACCTTTCAGCTAACAGCGAATGCTCTGCCCACTGCATTGACAGGCCTTCTTCAGAAACAGCCTGAGTCTCACATGTTTTTGGATACAGAAGGAACTTTATTTCTGAGGATTTTTGTTCCAAACTTTTTATTATGAGTTAGGTGAGGGTTTACATGAAAACACAGAGGAGGGGCAGGGAGCAGAGAGGGGGTGTCGCTGGGAAGTTTGAGAATTCATTTAAGTTGTTTGATGCAAAAATGATAATCTGATAGGGACATCTTCATGACAATAAACTTTTTACTGACCTCTAAAAGCCAAAGGGATTGGTTTTGTCCCAAAACCAATCATGAGCACCAGAGGGGCGCTTTGAAAATGAGGCCCCTGGTGGTGGGGGGAAGGCAAGGTGCAGTAAGAGCAAGCTTTCATTTTCCAGTGAAATGTGCCAAAAGGCAAAAAAACAAAACAAAACAAAACAAAACGGGGTCAATTAATCATAGGGCAGTGGTTGAGAGGTCAGAGGAACAACTGAAGCCTGACCCAGCGCAATCCCAGAAGGCTTCCTGAGGGAAGCACCTCAGACGATCCCTCTGCATGCATGCATGCACGACACAGGCTCTGGAAGCTGGTTAAAACCGGGCAGGTCGGCAACTGACTTCCTGTAAAGGTAACTTGAGCCTGCCACACTTCCGGGATCGCCAGTGCTGCTGGATCTGCGCCTAGCACAGAAGGACAACCGTCCGGACAGGTGCACTTACAATGCCGTGGGTCTGGGCCACCATGCTGCCCAAGTCAGAACGCCACTTCTGAAGAGCCAGGTAGAACGGGTTCCTCAGCAGGTCCTCATCATACACAGCCATAGGGGCTCCCGAGGCCCCGGCGGGCTTCCTGGAGGAGGGGGACGAAGCGAGACATGGTCAGGCTTCTAGAACACAGAACCGTGGAAACGGCATTCCTTTAACCAGAAGACCAAAACGACTCCACCACACACTTAACACTCACTCCGGAAATATCAAACACAGCCCACCAAATCAAAGATGATTTGTTTATTGGTTAAACACATGCATTCCATTCAGGAAACCTTGTTAGCTCTCAGTGCATGGAAACATACCCAGGGATACTTCTGAAACAGATGCTACATATCTTAATAGTATAAGAGTATAGAAATACAGATATAAGAGTACAGATATACAAGTGTCATCTTCGGGTGTCATAATGTGCGTCATGCCTATTGTTCTAAAAAGTCAATTTTACTTTTTATTATTTTTATTAAATACTTATACATTTTAATGAAATAGTTTATGCCTATACACAAGAAAGTGAGCCCGGTGAAACCAGAAAACGAACCACACGGCCAATTGACATAATAGAGGGAAATAATACATTTCAGTGTTTTTTTAAGTCACCAAGTTTGAGGTTAGTTAGAAAGCAAAGGCTGCCTGAAACATCATCATTTCCCAGTGTAAGATAAAAAGATAGTTCTCCATATTGTGTGTGTGTGTGTGTGTGCGGGTGTGTTAAGAATCTTAAAGTTTTATTTTTCATCTTTAGGTCTTCAATCCATCTGGATTTTTTTTCTGTGCCCCAAATCAGGCATCTAATTTTAATTTATTCATATGGTAGGTCTACTGTACCATCATCATTTTTTTACATAGTCTACCCCTTTCACACAGGTTGATAATGCTCCCTTTGTCATGCTCCACGCTCCCACACATCTCTGACATGTTTCTGGCCTCTGCTCTCTTTCAATGGTGTGGCCCAGGAGTCAACAAACTTTTGGGACACAAGAGCCAATCCTGTCCCTCACAACAATTTAAGAAGTATTTAAGAACCATAAATATATATATATATATATTTTTATATGTCTTTTAAAAAAAATCATTTTATTAGGGGCTCATACAACTCTTATCACAATCCATACACACATCAATTGTGTAAAACGCATTTGTACATTCATTGCCCTCATCATTCTCAAAACATTTGCTCTCCACTTAAACCCCCGGTATTAGGTCCTCATTTTCCCCCTCCGTCCCCGCTCCCCCTCCCTTATGAGTCCTTGATAGTTTATAAATTATTATTTTGTCATATCTTGCCCTGTCCGACGTCTCCCTTCACCCACTTTTCTGTTGTCCATCCCCCAGGGAGGAGGTCACATATAGTTCCTTGTAATTGGTTCCCTCTTTCCTACCCACTCTCCCTCTACCATCCCCGTTTCGCCACTCACACCACTGGTCCTGTAGGGCTCATCCGCCCTGGATTCCCTGGATTTTCAGTTCCTATCTGTACCAGTGTACATCCTCTGGTCTAGCCAGACTTGCAAGGTCGAATTCGAGTCATGGTAGTGGGAGCGGGGAGGAAACATTTAGGAATCGGAGGAAAGTTGTATTTTTCATCATTGCTACATCACACCTTGACTGGTTCATCCCCTCCCCGAGACCTCTCTGCAAGGGGATCTCCAGTGGCCTACTAATGGGCTTTGGGTCTCCACTCCGCATTCCCCCCATCATTCACTATGATAAGATTTTTTGTTCTGATGATGCCTTATACCTGATCCCTTCGACACCTCGTGGTTGCATAGGCTGGGGTGCTTCTTCATGTGGGCTTTGTTGCTTCTGAGCTTGATGGCTGTTTGTTTACCTTCAAGCCTTTAAGACCCCAGACGCTATACTTTTTGATAGCCGGGCACCATCAGCTTTCTTCGCCACATTTGCTTATGCACCCATTTGTCTTCAGTGATCCGTTCGACACCTCGTGATCACACAGGCTGACCATAAATATATTTGTACAAACAAATAAAGTCACCATTATCTGACTAATACCACATGTACATTCCAAGAGAACTGTTTGCCTGCCCTTGATCTACTCTAGACTAGTGTTTTCCAAAGGTCATGCAGCCCCCTGGAGGGGATGCTGGAACAACTGGGGAGGGACAGCAGCAAAAGCAGATACCTACACTTTATCCTGGATTGTGGCTACAGTTTTTAATTACCAGAAGGACACTGAGTAATTTTTTCTTTTTTCTTTTTTCCTAAAAAGGGGGAAGTAGGCCCTATCAGTTTGGCAGCCTCTGGGCTGGACCAACATTGTCTAAGAGAAATGTGAGAAGAACAGTTTACCACGAGAAAACAGCTAAGCAATCTTGCAGCCTTTTTTTGCTGTCCCATGCCTTTACACTCTGGTGTGCATTCTATATTAACAGAATTTTTCAATTAGTATCAGCCACAGTTAGCCAGTGGCTATTATACCAGACAGCATCAGTCTTGACCACACTGTTTTACATCACAACAGTTTCATAAGAGACCTTGACATCTTATAGAGTCCACACTGTTCTCCAAAACTATCTGGTTCTTCCTAGCTCCTTATACTAGCACATAAATTAGAATCAGCTTGTCCATTCCATGCAAAATTCTGTCGGAATTTTTATTGAAGCTAACTTGTGCTGGACTACAGAGTCATTATCTTTATAATAAGGAATATCATCCATGAAAATGGTACGTCTCACTGTGGCTTTATGTCCTTCAATTACATTTTTGCCATCAAAACTATATATGTACCTTTTAAGATGCATCATTTGTATATTTAGTGTGCCAATCTGGGTTGACTAGAGAAACAAATCCAGAGGCACTCAAATATGTGTATAAGAAAGAGCTTTCTATAAAAGAGCAATTGTATATTAAGAAACATACCAGCCAAGTCCATAAGTCCGATATTAGCCCATATGTCCGATACCAATCTATAAATTCCTCTTCAGACTCATGCAACACATGCAATGACACCAAATGCAGGAAGATCACAGGCCAGTGGGTGGAAAGTCTTGTGGATCCAACGGCAGTGGAAGCGTCTCAGCACTGGCAGGGTCTCCATGTGGCTCCTCCAGCTCCAGAGCTCTGGCTCCATCAGCCTCTCTCCATGTGTCTTCTCAACATGGATGTCTCACAGGGAGTGAGCATGTGTCCCACCTCCAGCGAGCTATTTATCTACTTAGAGCCTCCAAACGAGGTCATCAAGCTGTGACATGATTGACAGGCCAAACTCCACCCTTCACTCTTAAGTCTCAAATTGGCAACAGAGTATGTAACTACCATATTTAGCATATGCTTCGTTGCTGTTATAAATGGACTTTTTCATTTTAAATGGGTTATTGTAAGTAAGGTTTAAAAGGCAAAAAAAGCCAAGTAGACTTACAGCACAGTCATACTCAAAAACAAACTCCCTGCCAGGGAGTCGGTGGTGATTCATAGTGACCTTCTAGGATTGGGTGACCTTCCCTGTGAGTTTCTGAGGCTGTAAGTCTTACAGGAGTAGAAAGCCCCTGTCTTTCTCCCTCGGGGCGGCTGCAGTTAGTAGCCCAAGCTATAACCACTACATCAGCAGGGCTCCTTACAGTCACACTGTACAGAAAAAATGAGAATCCGTAGAGAGCAGATCTAAAATCACCATCAGAGCTGTGGCTTAGGAAGCCAGCTGGCCCTGGTATGACTTATGATCTTAGGTCTGTGAATGACTGATGGAAGACTACCTATCGATGGCTAATCATTAAAGGGAACAAACTGTTTTAAGGCTGGTGCTGTCCAGAAACCACTGTGTGCGAATGATGGATGCCCTGGGGCCATTCATAGAAACAGGTGTGTGACACGTTTTAAGAACAGTCTACAGCTGACCTGCCATTGTTCCTAGCCTGTTCCCCTTGTCATACACCACCCTGGTTTTACTAAGCCATTAGGGGAGTCTGCAAAATGTACACAGAAAAGGAGACCAGGGTGCTAGCCATGTCAGGCCACCTCTCTGAGCCTCCACCCAGGTCTGCGTGACAGGGACCACTAGCACCTGTCCCTGCAGATCTCCCAGGAGGCTCATGTACCACCCCCTTTACTGTCTTCACCCTACTGCACACCAATACACCACCACTTACTGCTAGCCCACATGGTGCATTTGTAAGGATGAGAAAAGGCAGCCCCTCTTCCCGGTAGGAGCCATGGTGGCACAGTGGTTATGCAGTTGGGCTGTTAACCGCAAGGTCAGCAGTGCAAAACCACCAGCCACTCCTCTGGAGAAAGACGGGGGCTTTCCAGTCCAGTAACGAGTGAGTCTCTGAAACTCACAAGGTAGTTCTAACCTGTCCTGTAGGGTCCCTATGAGTTGGCATGGGTTCAACGGCAGTGAATTTGGTTTGGTTTTCTTCCTGGTGGCTGCAGCTTTAGGCCAGGACATACAGTTTGCTAGGCAGCTCGCAGGCTGGCTGTTGGCCCCAGGGCACCACTCTCTAGCCAGGCACCCCTTGTGCAATGAATAACCTACACAACTGTGCCCAGTGACCCTACTGTTAATGTTTGACATGCTCCTTTACATGCCTGGCTCCTTCTAAACCTCAGGGAGCAGCCACCTGCTGCTTGATATGCAACAGCAGTACTGCTGCCCACAAAGAGATCATCCTAAAATATTTAAATTGTAAAAATAACTGCTCTATTTAAAACCTTGCAAGATTATATTGTCTGACATAGGTTCTTAGACTGAGGCCTTTTCTAATTGAAAAGGAAAATGAGAACATTAGCAAATATATACTAAAGAGCATCCATGAACCTTCTCCTGGATGCAATCAGATAAATGAAAAACAAACAAAAACCTGAATGATTCTCTCTGACTAGGTAACTGTGCTCCACAGAGCCTCCGTGGGAAAGCAGCAGGGAGTGTGCCTCCATGTCTTATAAGCAATGTGGCCTGTGACACCCAAGAAAACGACCATCATCCGGCATATCCCTGCCCTAAGGAGAGCGGTCACTGTGATAGACTGCGCCCCCCTTTTCATGTTCATAGCCACTACAGGTCAACAGGCAACATGAGACCCATGTGGGCGATAAAGAGACTGAGGCTCTGGGAGTTTCAGCAGC